ATGAGGAAATGAGGTTTATAACATGTTATGGATTTTTTTTCTGTATGGCCTGTGGCTAGGCTGGCAATTCTGAACTTGGCCCATGGACACACAAAAAGTTTGCCTACCCCTAACACATCATTGCTCCACATTTCTAAATGACTGAAAAGGTTTTTTTTTCGGTTTTTTTTAACATTTAGAGTACAAGAGAGTCTGCATGTCCGCCTGCTGCATACACTTTTGTAGTGCTTATTGTCACTACACAAACTCTGTCAAATGTCAATAAGCTCTGTCACTCTGTCAAATGTCAGTAAACTCAATCTACCTCTTGTTGTCAGTAAGCTCAATCCACCTATTGTTGTCAGTAAACTCAATCTACCTCTTGTTGTCAGTAAGCTCAATCTACCTCTTGTTGTCAGTAAGCTCAATCTACCTCTTGTTGTCTGTAAGCTCAATCCACCTCTTGTTAGTAAACTCAATCCACCTCTTGTTGTCTGTAAGCTCAATCCACCTCTTGTTGTCAGTAAACTCAATCTACCTCTTGTGTTAAGAAGTCTCAAAGAAAGCAATCAGACTGTCTAGATCATAGCTGTCCAGCACCTCCAAAAGGGATGGAACTTTGCTCTTGACATTCTGACCCTTGAACTTGAACCGGTCAATGTAGAGATCAGTGATCATTCCTGGAAACAAAAACAAATCTATAATACAGTAACAACAACAAAACGTCTAACGACATGTTGATCAGTTTTAAACTATTGTGGTGACACTTACATTAAAACAATGGACTATATATGTTGTGTGTCTCAGTTTAAATGATTAGCATCCTTTGGATATTTGCTCCAGGTTATGCCGGTGTGTTAGGAAATGAACAGATAGACAGATTAGCTGATTCTCCACCACATGGTGGTAAATTAATGTATGAAAAGCTACATGCTGCAATGGCCCTTTGGAAGTAAGTAAACAGTGCAGAGGCACACACTAATCACCACAGTCTACAGAGGATGGTGCAGCGAAATGTCATCAAGTGATCCGGCTGATGCTCAACACTCAGAGGGGGGGAAAGGACATACAATCATACTGTTACTGCTACCATCGAAACTGCAATTCTGCACTGGTTGCTGAAGATGAGGATGGATTGCTTATGGGAATGTCCCGAGTGTTATGATGTTGATTCTTAACACATAACATATAAGTGATAGTTTAAATGATTCACTTTTGTTTTTCATTTCATCTCTTTCTTCTTCTTAGTTCGCCACATTAAAAAAGGTGGTTAACACGTGTTGCGGTTTACGGCTGGGCTATCTTCTTTTTCTTCATGTTCACTGGCTGTAAACTCTGCTGGAAACTTCTGGTTGTTTGTCCATTTCCAGACTAAAACCCTGTTCCAGGACTTGAGTTTTTCGTGCACTTCCCTTTTACAGATCTGGCTTATTTTTATGCAGACTGTTGTCATTTGAGCAGACACACTCCGACTTCAAAGGAAGCATCCCTAATTAGTCACTTTTAATCTTCGTCTTCTTCTTGGCGTTCACCAGCTGTAAACTCCGGTGGAAAGTTCTGGTTGTTTATCCACTTCTGATCGCAGTCCTGTTCCAGAACCTGAGTGTTGCGTGTGCATCCATTTGACAGATCTGACTCATTTGTGTGCAGATTGTTGGTTCCTTGCCTCTCAGGCAGATGTACTCCGACTTTGAAGGAAGCTCCCATTAGTTGACTCTTGCGACATGCTTTTGGGTAGGCAGTGGGTCTATCCTTGTTTTCCCTATAACAGGGCCCCGGAACCCACACAGGATGTCACTTTTTATGATATGCTTGTTAGATGGGCGGGGGGAGGAGGAGGAGGGGGTGCAGTGGGTCCAATCTTTTTCCTACAAATCTGGGCCTCGCAACCCAAATGGGGACAGGTAGGCTATGATATTTGTGCCTTCTGCCCCAACAAATTGGTCTTTACAAATGTTTGTGAACTGAAAACCTGGAAACCACATTGCAAATTATATGATGGTTTAGTAATGTGCTATCTGTCACTAATTTTATATGGCACGACAATGAACAAGGCAACCAAACTCAAAATGTCAAGTTTTTTAATGCTTTAACTCTTCGAAATCACTTTACAAGCACGGCACTTACCGTAAAGTCTTTCAAGATGGCATGGCTGTTTCTTGTACTCAGCTTTCAAATTCTCTGAATTTTCCAGGATTTGCTGGTACTCAGGAGACATAAAACTGAGATCAGTCTCACTGATCTGAAGCTCCTAAAAAGCCAGTAAAGAAAAACATGTATAAAGCTAGTCAGGAAAAGATCTGATAATTAAATCAATGAGGGGAAAATATATCTAAAGTAATTCAGGAAAAGATCTGATTATTACCCTTTCACCCTGAAAATACTTAAAAAATTGAATAAACTCAGAAATCCATGAGAAAAGTCCTTAACCCTACCAGACCGCTGGCCTGATTTTCTGGGAATTTCCTAACCAGCCGCTAAACCGCTGGCCCACTTTTCCGGGAATTTACATAGTATGTGACAAATATGAGTCACAGACTAAAAATAACCAGCCAATCGCCATCAGACTTCGTTGTTAGTCATTGCGAATGACTTCCGATGTGTGTTGAGATTTCTTTGTGTGGTTTCATGTGAAAAAAATTCGGAAAATTCTCAATGAAACCAGCGGCTTCGACAAGAAAGTGACGTAGGTCTAGGCTTTTCACAGTCCAACAGGTGATCGATACTTTGGTTAATTCAGACTGTGAATACGTTCATGAAGAATACGTTCCCAGTTTAAGTGACACACTCAGTTAGAGTTAGAGTGAGGAGGAGAATTATGAAAATTATAGATTTAAAACTAGATCGATAGTAGGAGAAGAGAGCGTGTCCCTCAAACAGCAACATCTGGTGCTTACTTTGTGAAACAAGGCTAATCCTACTAGGTGGATTGGCACACAAAGGTGGAAGATTGGAGCTAGATGAAAGGTAAACCTATTTTCTACAATGTCTCCAAGTTTTATCTTATTCTTACCACTTGTTTGCATGTAACTAATTTTGTTGTACATCATGTTGGTTTTTTGCGTGTTAGTGCCCAGGAGCTCAGGTTATAGGGACAGTTAGGTTCAGGGCCTCAGGTCTGGTAGGGTTAAATAAGCAAGCATTATACACAGGTTTTCAGTTATTTATATACATTTGTTTTTAAATTATTGGGAAAATATGAAGGACAGTAATCAATGGACGGAGTGAAGAATTAACTGGATTTCATTCCCTTGGGCCTGAAAATTGTACTAAGTGACTCTTACAGTGACCCCGTAGCCTTGTTGGAATTCTAACACAGAGGCTTTGGAAAAACTATGACGTCAAAATTACTTTAAAATAGCTATTTTCTTCACAAGGAAAACTCCCTAAATGCTATCTGTAGTAAATGTATTCATATCCTGACCTAAATTAAAACCTACGACTTCTGGAACTGGCAAGCTAGCTATCCACTTTGCCCGCTTTTAAGGGTATCATAATGCTGACTTGGTCTGTATACATGGGCTACTGTCATCATCACGCAGCAGGTCCCTTGCAGAATATCACTCTAATCATGGTCTGCCTGAAAGAAACTCAGACTCTCACCAGTTCTCCCACCTCATGCACCTTCCTACCTAAAGTATCACTTATATCCTGTGCCCATCGTCATGGTGATCAATCCCTTCCCCATCTTCCTGGTATAGTGCCTTCTGCTTTATTATTTTTTCCCAATCTGCCGAGGAGCTTGAAGTGGCCAAAATATTTACATTTCTGAGACAAGATGCTGTTTGCCAGCCAATCTTCCCTGGTGTTTTTGATCTTTTAAGATGTCAGTATTTTATTTCTTCTTTGTCCATGTTAATCTGAGAATCTTTCTATAGCATTTCAGCTCAAAAACCCTGATTTTCTTCCTTAAAGACTGTGAGTTACACTAGAGCCAAATTATACAAAATAATATAAACAAGAACAGAACAAATCTATCAGGCGTTGCCTCCACAATGATTCTAGTGGATCTCTAACACTCATCTCTCATTCTGGCTTCACACTCGCTGAGACTGCTGTTCATTCATCCCCTGTTTTTATTCTCCCATTTATATTACTGTCTACCCCTAGCTAACTTTTCTTCAACTTTTCCCTCCATTTTGGTTTTTATAAAATGTTATATCTTTTAATGTGACAGAAATATTTATGTTTTGTTTTGTTCTAGAAATAAACTTTCGGCTCTCCTCTGAATAGCGATCCCAAATTTTCAAGGCCGAAAATATACGCTAACAGGGCCACAGTCACATGTCAATTGCGCACTTCCGCCACCGCCGAGAGTATCCCCCAGGCCTCTCACAGGGCGTGGACTGGGGCTAAACTAGATGGCTGGGACTCACGAGCAGCATCTACCGCATCTCCTGCAGCTTCCTTCATTTGCTTGTGAGTCCCAGCCATCTAGTTTAGCCCCAATCCAGGCCGCATGAGCGGCTGGGGGATACTCTCAGCGGTGGCGGTATAGTCCCTGCAAGTCCAAAATTCGGCGGTGGCAGTATAGTCCCCGGAAGTTCGCAATTGACATGTGACTGAGGCCCTGTTAGGGTATATTTTCGGCCTCGATAATTTGGGACCGTTATTTGGAGGATAGCCAAACTTTTCCAACTGCTTGCTCACTGTGCAAATCTCTGCTCCATAAGCAGAGCAACAGATGACAAGTTTTAATGTGTCATTTGTGGGAGGAGGCAACAAGTAAAATGTCAGATACTGAAAACCTGTGCCTGGACAGAATGATGCAGCAGGAAGTGTCTGCTGGCTCTGGCACCCCTCAAAGGCAAGACAAGTAGTTAACCAGATCACAACGGGTACCATGGGTATAGAGACTCTTCGCTGACTGTTGAGATGGGAGACGGAGCTAATATTTGGGTTTGTCCTGAATGTTGTGAGGTCAAATCTTTACTTAGATGAACCCAGATAAATTTGTTGTTTATGAACGTTGTGACCTAAAGTAAAAACCAAAACTGCCTAATACACAAGTGAAAACCAACCTTGAGTGCATCTATAAGCTGTACTTTCTTGGCCAGCAATAACTGATACTCAAGTTTTGGGTGAATCATTCTCAAAGTGTGGTTTATTGAGTCCTCATTAATATCTGGAAAATAGACAAACACATACAATCAACTTTTTCAAGTAATTCTTTTTTCAGCAAAAGGTGTTCGTTCATCCATCACAAGGGATGAGGACCACTCTTTCTTTCATCTATCATGAAACTACAGCTGAATGTTTGTGAGTCCGGTGGTGACTTATAAGTCCAATATGGAAAATGAGGGCAGGGCACAATGTCTGTAGATAGAGGGCCTGTTTGGTGGTTCTTTCTGGCCTGTCTTCGCTGTTCAGCTGCTTTTGTGCTAGATGCGTCGCAGATCTTGCACTTTTTCGGATTTATGTGCGCCATAAAGTCTGGTCTTGTGCAGCAGCCTCCCAGATGTCAGGTCCTGAGCTGCAACCTCCCAGATGTCAGGTCCTGAGCTGCAGCCTCCCAGGTGTCAGGTCCTGAGCTGCAGCCTCCCAGGTGTCAGGTCCTGAGCTGCAGCCTCCCAGGTGTCAGGGTTTATACTGAAGGCTTTCGGTGATGCCTTTAGTGTGTCCTTGAAGTGGGTTTTTTTCTGGACACCATAAGAACGTTGACCGTCATGTATCTTACCATAGAAGATTATTTTTGGGAGCCGATGGTCAGGCACTCGAACAATACGGCCAGCCCATAGAATCTGTGACTGTATCAGGAGGGTATTGATACTGGGAATGCCAGACGTGTCCAGTACGACATTGTCCAGGACCATGTCTTGCCACTTCATGTTCAGTATCTTTCTCAGACAGACTGTATGGCAGTGGTTGAGTTTGTTTGCCTAACGTCTGTAAACAGTCCAAGTTTCACAGGCATACAGCGGCACTGGAAGCACTGCAGCTCTGTATACCATCAGTTTAGTTTGCAGACTGATGCCACTACGATTCCAGACATTCATGTATAACCTGCCAAATGTGTCGCTGGCTTTAGAGATCCTAGTGCTTACCTCATCATCAACAGTGACATTCTGAGACAGTGTACTACCGAGGTATGTGAATCTATCCACAACCTTTAATTTCTTGCTATTTACCAGAATGGTTGGTTCAGTGTACACTTTGCCTGGTGCTGGTTGGTACATAATTTCGGTTTTCTCAGTGTTAATGGTAAGCCCAAAATGGATACAGGCCTCAGAGAATCTGTCCATGTTATATTGCAGATCTGCTTCTGAACCGGCATTAAGATCACAGTCGTCGGCAAACAGAAGGTCCCTAATTACACATGATTTAACTTTGGTTTTTGCTTTGAGCCGCCTAAGAATGAAAAGTTTTCCATCAATGCGATAGCAAATATCAATTCCTGTTTCTTGATCTTAAAAAGCGTCAAACAGAACAGCACAGAACATAATACTGAGTAGAGTAAGTGCGAGTACACAGCCTTGTTTAACACCATTTGTAACATGGAAAGGTTCAGAAAATTCTCAATTATTCTGAATTCTGGCCTGCATCCCATCATGCAGTTGCTGTATGATCATGATAAATTTCCTTGGACGGCCAAATTTTGCCATGATCTTCCACAGACCCTCTCTACTGACTGAGTCGAACGCTTTTGTAAGGTAAATAAAAGCTGTGAATAAATTACAATTCTGTTCCTGACATTTTTCTTGTAGCTGCCTTTTGGAAAACACCATAAGGTTCTGCGCTCTTTCCAAAATCTGCATTGGCTTTCAGCTAGCAGACTCCATCAATGTGTGTCGTAAGATGATTTAGAAGTATTCTTGCAAATATTTTTCCTGCAATTGATAGCAAGGATATGCCACAGTGATTGTTGCAAACTTGGCGATTCCCTTTCCACTTGTAAAGGTGTATTATTGATGCGTCCTTGAGTTCTTGTGGAAAGATTTCAGTCTTAGGTATATTATTTATGAGTGTCTGAAAATGACAGCAGAAATTAAACATAAACTAGAGAACTTTTTGAAATAAATGTCTAAGGGGAAGAATCTTGCAAATATTCTGGCCAACAAAATCTCGAATGAAGAACTGAGCAGGAAAAGTAAATATTCATCACCAGCAAACGTTATGAAAGGAAGAAGATAGAAATGGCTTGGACATGTTTGCATGGACAGCTCTGCATGGACAGCAGATGGAAAACAGAGACGTAGTAAAACTCAGGAATCCTGGTTATGGACAGCATAAAGGGAAATAAAGGAATGAAAAAATAACATGGGATACCATGGGCAGAAAAGCAGCACACCCACAACAATGGAGATCATTTGTAAATGCCTTCTGAGTTAATGACATAAACACACACAAAAGTATCTGATGCACCGCAATACAAGAAAACTTACAGAAACACAACAAAAGTATGTGATGTACTGTAATAAAAGAAAACATACACCCGATGCTTTGTTACATTACCATAAGAAATGTCCAGTCTAATCTTCTTCTTTGTGGCTTCCTTGGACAGCACATCCTTGAGGATGGAGATGGTAGAGACATTGTCAGATCTGAACACTGCTTCGCCTCTCCTGTTGAACAAAACATTTTACTTATTTACTTACTGTCATTCATTCATTCATTCATTCTTTCATATTCATTTATTATCCTGTTGTGCCATTACATGTCACATAGGGCTCGTAGTTAGTTTCTCCATTCCATTCTATCCTGTGCCATAAGCTCAATATCGTGGATTGAATCCAATCCAGCAGCTTTGGCCTCTTTCATCAGCTTTCGTCCTAAGGTTTCTTGTGGGCGTCCTCACCGCTTTAATTCCTTTATTTCCCATTTTAATTCCTGTTTGGTAATTCTCTGCTGGTTTCTTCTCAAGATGTGTCAAATGTAGCGCCATTTTATCCCTCTTTTAACTTACTGTCATTACAACCTGTATTTACTATATTTTAGAGTGATGTCGGACACTGGGTGGGGGGGGGGGGGGCATGGGGGTCCTTGAGCCAGAGGATTTAGGACCATTGAGCTAGTGCAATCACCACAGGCTCGACAGGTTAGGATTGTTATTTTGACCTTGACATTAAACGAAAAATGCATTCTTACTGTTACTGACTGACTTTCTACCCCACAAGGACATCACACAAGCGATAAACACCCGATGACACAAAGTGCCACCATGTGGATGAGAATCGCCGTGGAGAGGTCCCAGAAACCGCGTTCAGCCTTTAGGCCATATTTATGGCCTACCTATATTGCGGCCCCTGGCAAAAGCCAGAGTGGAGCTTCAAATAACAAAAAATTTCATCCTGAAAAGGATGATAGATGATAACACACACAATTTATCTTACTGAGAATTTCTTCTTCTTCTGCGTTCATCCGAAGATGTAATTGCGTTGTGTCCGTAAACAGCACGGCTGCGATATTTGCACCTTTCGGCCAACACATCCGACTTCTGCGGGCATTTGTTGACTGGGTTAGCCTTTCCGGTTAGTTTCTGGGGACATGGCAGTCTCATTGTTGTAAGGTCATCTTTATTTCCCAGGTCACAGGTGGTGCCTCAATCAGGCTGGTCCAGAGAAGCCACATAATGCTCATCAGCCCTCAAGAGAAGGCAGGGGCAGAACATGAGCATTCTCTGCCATCCAAGGAGGCATCCACAAATGCAGAGCTAATACATGGTGCTCTGGTACTGGGCTCACCCAAGGAATCGTCACGTCCTGCTCATGACTGTTTAACCTCACTTCCATATATTGAACATCTTATACATCATGGGCTATTTCTTTTGTAGCCAACAGTATGCAGCCTGCAGACCTGGGATTTCATTTACCTACACTACAAAATGAGTACTTTGCTTCTTTTGCATGTTAGACTTTTACTGCAGTGGACTTCCTCATCCACTATAGTTTTACGTGGGACTATCACTTAGAAAATCCCGGACAGTTTTATTCTTCTTATACCTTCAGATGTCAGTGTAGATATATTTGAAGAAATCAGCAGTCAACTTAAGGTTGTTGACATCTCCACACAGTTTATCCTCAAAAGTTGCAAGTGTAAGCCAAAATAATTTTCTCTGTTCTGCATATATTGGACACTCTTGCAGCAAGTGTTTAGCCGTCATTTTACCCTGTCCACAGTTACAATCATTATTGCCTCCTATCTTTAGTTTATTGAACAAGTGGTGTTTCAGCCTATTATGTCCTGTGCGGAGTCTAAAGATCACTACTGAGAATCTGAACCTGGCTCTCTCAAATGACAGCCCAGGATTCTAAACTGTTCAGCCACAGTATTTTAGATTTGAACAAAGCTTTATCTCTCCTGTTGAACAAAGCTTTATCTCTCCTGTTGAACAAAGCTTTATCTCTCCTGTTGAACAAAGCTTTACCTCTCCTGTTGAACAAAGCTTTATCTCTCCTGATGAACAAAGCTTTATCTCTCCTGATGAACAAAGCATTATCTCTCCTGTTGAACAAAGCTTTATCTCTCCTGTTGAACAAAGCTTTACCTCTCCTGTTGAACAAAGCTTTACCTCTCCTGTTGAACAAAGCTTTACCTCTCCTGTTGAACAAAGCTTTATCTCTCCTGATGAACAAAGCTTTATCTCTCCTGTTGAACAAAGCTTTACCTCTCCTGTTGAACAAAGCTTTATCTCTCCTGATGAACAAAGCTTTATCTCTCCTGTTGAACAAAGCTTTACCTCTCCTGTTGAACAAAGCTTCATCTCTCCTGTTGAACAAAGCTTTATCTCTCCTGTTGAACAAAGCTTTATCTCTCCTGTTGAACAAAGCTTTATCTTTCCTGTTGAACAAAGCTTTATCTCTGCTGTTGAACAAAGCTTTATCTCTCCTGATGAACAAAGCTTTATCTCTCCTGTTGAACAAAGCTTTATCTCTCCTGATGAACAAAGCTTTATCTCTCCTGATAAACAAACCTTTATCTCTCCTGTTGAACAAAGCTTTACCTCTCCTGTTGAACAAAGCTTTATCTCTCCTGTTGAACAAAGCTTTATCTCTCCTGTTGACCAAAGCTTTACCTCTCCTGTTGAACAAAGTTTTATCTCTCCTGATGAACAAAGCTTTATCTCTCCTGTTGAACAAAGCTTTATCTCTCCTGTTGAACAAAGCTTTATCTCTCCTGTTGAACAAAGCTTTATCTCTGCTGTTGAACAAAGCTTTATCTCTCCTGTTGAACAAAGCTTTATCTCTCCTGTTGAACAAAGCTTTATCTCTCCTGATGAACAAAGCTTTATCTCTCCTGTTGAACAAAGCTTTATCTCTCCTGTTGAACAAAGCTTTATCTCTCCTGATGAACAAAGCTTTATCTCTCCTGTTGAACAAAGCTTTACCTCTCCTGTTGAACAAAGCTTTATCTCTCCTGTTGAACAAAGCTTTATCTCTCCTGTTGAACAAAGCTTTACCTCTCCTGTTGAACAAAGTTATATCTCTCCTGATGAACAAAGCTTTATCTCTCCTGTTGAACAAAGCTTTATCTCTCCTGTTGAACAAAGCTTTATCTCTCCTGTTGAACAAAGCTTTATCTCTCCTGATGAACAAAGCTTTATCTCTCCTGTTGAACAAAGCTTTACCTCTCCTGTTAAACAAAGCTTTATCTCTCCTGATGAACAAAGCTTTATCTCTCCTGTTGAACAAAGCTTTATCTCTCCTGTTGAACAAAGCTTTATCTCTCCTGTTGAACAAAGCTTTATCTCTCCTGTTGAACAAAGCTTTATCTCTGCTGTTGAACAAAGCTTTATCTCTCCTGTTGAACAAAGCTTTATCTCTCCTGTTGAACAAAGCTTTATCTCTCCTGATAAACAAAGCTTTATCTCTCCTGTTGAACAAAGCTTTATCTCTCCTGTTGAACAAAGCTTTATCTCTCCTGATGAACAAAGCTTTATCTCTCCTGTTGAACAAAGCTTTACCTCTCCTGTTGAACAAAGCTTTATCTCTCCTGTTGAACAAAGCTTTACCTCTCCTGTTGAACAAAGTTATATCTCTCCTGATGAACAAAGCTTTATCTCTCCTGTTGAACAAAGCTTTATCTCTCCTGTTGAACAAAGCTTTATCTCTCCTGTTGAACAAAGCTTTATCTCTCCTGATGAACTAAGCTTTATCTCTCCTGTTGAACAAAGCTTTACCTCTCCTGTTGAACAAAGCTTTATCTCTCCTGATGAACAAAGCTTTATCTCTCCTGTTGAACAAAGCTTTATCTCTCCTGTTGAACAAAGCTTTATCTCTCCTGTTGAACAAAGCTTTATCTCTCCTGTTGAACAAAGCTTTATCTCTGCTGTCGAACAAAGCTTTATCTCTCCTGTTGAACAAAGCTTTATCTCTCCTGTTGAACAAAGCTTTATCTCTCCTGATAAACAAAGCTTTATCTCTCCTGTTGAACAAAGCTTTATCTCTCCTGTTGAACAAAGCTTTATCTCTCCTGATGAACAAAGCTTTATCTCTCCTGTTGAACAAAGCTTTACCTCTCCTGTTGAACAAAGCTTTATCTCTCCTGTTGAACAAAGCTTTATCTCTCCTGTTGAACAAAGCTTTACCTCTCCTGTTGAACAAAGTTTTATCTCTCCTGATGAACAAAGCTTTATCTCTCCTGTTGAACAAAGCTTTATCTCTCCTGTTGAACAAAGCTTTATCTCTCCTGTTGAACAAAGCTTTATCTCTGCTGTTGAACAAAGCTTTATCTCTCCTGTTGAACAAAGCTTTACCTCTCCTGTTGAACAAAGCTTTATCTCTCCTGATGAACAAAGCTTTATCTCTCCTGTTGAACAAAGCTTTATCTCTCCTGTTGAACAAAGCTTTATCTCTCCTGTTGAACAAAGCTTTATCTCTCCCGATGAACAAAGCTTTATCTCTCCTGTTGAACAAAGCTTTATCTCTCCTGATGAACAAAGCTTTATCTCTCCTGTTGAACAAAACACTGCCAGAAGGCTTTTTTTTTTTTAACTTTCTTTTCTTTTCCCAGCAGTCATTGGTTATCATTTGAATTAGGGCCATTTTATAAAAACTGACCTTTACTTCCAGGTTGACCCAGCCTAAAAATTGGTACCAGAAAATGTTATAGGGAAAAAAAAGGCCAGTCATGTGGTACTGACAGCACTACCTCCAATTGCTAACTGGTAGGCAAAGATACAAGGCTAATACAATATGTTCAATCTGCTTCGAGGTCCTCGTTTGAAATCAATCAATCTATTAGGTGCCGTCTCCACAATGAATACTGGCTGCAATGGATCTCCAACACCCTCTGTCTTTCAACCTAGATGTACACTCTCTCAAACTGCTGTTCGCCCGTCTGCTGATGTTATCCTCCCACTTGTATCGCTGTAGCACAAACAGCTGATTACTAGTTCAAGTTAAAAACAAGATGGCTGACTTCACTGTTTAGACAGGGTTTTATCCCACACAGCTTGGTCTTCCTCTGCAAAACATCCAGCCACCTGCTGAGAGTGTCGCATGAAGCATAAACTCTGTATCTCTAGTGACAATCTCCAGGGATCTGCATAATGCATAAAAATGCATCATGAACCTAACTGTGCAATCCATGAAACGAACCTATGACCTTCAGAGTGTGAGACAAATTATTTGACCACTTCGCCATGGAGACCTTCCTTGATTACTAGAAAAACAAATTTACAGAACAAATATACAAAACAAATTTTTTTTAAATAACCCTTTTCATCTATTGTTTTTGTCTATTTGGTGAAATAAGATAATTATGTAACCAGAGGGTCTGGCCGGCTCACTACACTCAGAGGAAAGGCAAGACGGACATATAACCAGATTGTGACTGGTACCATCAGTATTAGAACTCTGCGCTGGCTGCTGAAGATGAGGACGGAGCACACATGGAAATGCCCCAAGTGCTGTGATGTCAATTCTTGACTCAATTCAACTCAACTCTACTTAGTGCTGTTATGTGTCGCAAGCACGGCTAATGAGCAGTTTCTGGTGTAGTGCACACTCTTTAGCTTGCTGCATGGTGACATTGTTCAGTTATAGTCTTCTTCTTCTTCTTCGCGTTCACCAGCTGTACACACTGGCGGAAAGTTCTGGTTGATCGTCCACTACTGAACTGCAGTCCTGCTCCAGAACCTGAGTGTTGCGTGTGCATCAGTTTTATAGATCTCATTCTCTTGAATACAGACTGTTGGTTCCTTGCCTCTCCGGCAGATGCACTCCGACTTCAAAGGAAGCTCCCCAATTAGTCGACTCTTACAACATGCTTTTGGGGAGGCAGTGAGTCTATTCTTGTTTTCCCCACAATGGGGCCCCGGAACCCACACGGGGGATTTGTTGAGTTATAGTAATCTGTTAACTTCCTCTATCCACATTCTTCTTGGCCTTCCTCTGCCTCTTGATGTTTCCATTATCATGTTGTATGCTCTTGCAACCGGTGACACTGGGGTCATTCTGGCCAGTGGGCAAAACCATTTTGGTCTTTGTTTTTTCAATCAATCTAATTACAGATGTTGTTCCCACTATTCTAATGATATCTTCATTTCTTGTATGGTCTCTTCTTGCTATGTTGACTACTTTTCTCAAACATCTCCTTTCACTGCTTGTCACCTGTCTGCACTCTTGTTCCTGTGCTAGTGCCCAGGTCTGGCATTAGTAACACAATGTTGGTTAAAAAAAAAAAAGACTGTGTTTTTGATTTGTCTTTTAGTTTCCATTGGTATTACCCTTTTCATACCACTGGCACACTGGACATTTGCTACTAGACACATTTTTTTAAACAAAATACTCAGTATTGGTCATGTGGTCATCTTTACGGCACTCTTCTGAACACGGGTCCCAAATTATTCACTGCAAAAAACATCCCTGTGAGAGCCTCAAGAGATTATGTAGTAAAAATATTTCGGCCATCATTGTCAGTTTCCACTACTGCCATTATTGCTCGATGGATAGCAATGTTTAGACGTTAAGCTAAACGCTGTGGGGAGGAATAGTTTTCGATCCATTGAAGCGTTGTGGGGAGGAATCGATTTTGATCAACTGTTTAAGCGGCATGGGGAGTAGTATTTGATCCATTAAAGCGTTGTGGGGAGGAATAGTTTTTGATCCACTGATTCGTCGTGGGGAGGAATCGATTTTGATCAACTGTTTAAGCAGCGTGGGGAGTAGTTTTTGATCCATTGAAGCGTTGTGGGGAGGAATAGTTTTTGATCCATTGAAGCGTTGTGGGGAGGAATAGTTTTTGATCGATTGAAGCGTCATGGGGAGGAATAGATTTTGATCAACTAGTTAAGCGCCATGGGAAGTCGTTTCTGATCCATTGAAGCGTTGTGGGGAGGAATAGTTTTTGATCCACTGAAGCGTCATGGGGAGGATTAGATTTTGATCAACTGTTTAAGCGGAATGGAAAGTCGTTTTTGATCCATTAAAGTGTTGTGGGGAGGAATAGTTTTTGATCCATTGTTCACATTACCCGTGACTCCCCATGAAGGTTCCAGGGCCACATGTTTGAGGATTAAAAAAAATAGATCCACTGCCACCCAAAAAGCATGTTGTAAAAATCGACTAATTAAGACTTTGCTGAAATCGGATGTGTTGGGGCAAAAAGAGCAGATATCAAAGCCTAGCCGTAAACCCTAACACAACGTGCCAACCACCCTTTCAAGGGCAAAGGAAAAGAAAGAAGCTTACCTACCCGTTACACAACCATTGAGTATCTTGCTGCCGCTATCGCAGCCTAGCTGTAAACCACAAGACCGAACGAAAGGCGCAGATATCGCAGCCTAGCTGTAAGTGACGATACAATGTGCCAACCGCCCTTTTAAGGGTTAACAAAATTTATCTCCCAGCGGGGAATCGAACACCGTGTGGCAGAATACTTACAACTGTACTGCAAAAGACTTGACTCAGAAATTATATAATAATGCGAAGCATAGTTTGTAGTGTTCCTATTTGATAATATATGACTTTTTAAATATATGACTTCTTGAGGCCCTGAATGGGATTTTTTAAACAGTGAATAATTTGGGCCGGTATTCAGAAGAGTGCCCATTTTTACTTCTCAAGATATATCCTGGTAACCATTTCTGACTGGGCTGACCTATGAACCCAGATCAATTATAAAAATTCACCATGATATGAATCTAAACCCAAAACTTTCAAGCAGTCTAGCTGCCAGACAATTGCTAATGGAAATTCTTATTTTATAAACATGCACACCTGTAAATACAGTCCAACTGAGTGTCCAAGAAAGTCGAAGCAAACTGAAAGTTGGCACTGTCTCCAGCCGGGGTCCTTTCTGGCAGCTCAGGCAGACAGAACAACAACCAGGAGTGTACTTCTGCCAGGCTAAACTGACCCTTCAAAGTCAATCGATTATGCGGTCTGTGAACAGACAGACAAACAGTTTTCAATATATATATTCAATATATATATGAGTAGAAAATTAGATGAAAGTAAAGCATAAGAAAAAAAAAAGATCAGTACATGAAGGTAGAAAATTATGCGAAAGTAGAACATTTTACAAATGTAGAATAATATACTAAAAGTAGACATTTATATGAAAGTAGAATATTATATAAAAGAAGAACCTATATTTTTTTTTTAAAAGAACATTACATACAAGTAGCCATATGATAAGAAAAGTGGCAATGGGGACATATAGTGACAACTAGAATATCAGCAATAGAAGAGACAAAGGCGTCTTCTTCTTCTTCTTCTTCTTCTGTCCTTAAACCCCCCCCCCCCCCCCCCCCCACAATGGAGCAAAGGCCTTCAACCAACTCACACCAAGTTCTCCTATCATTTGCTAGAGCATGCAGCTTACCCTATCTCTTCTCCATATCTCACTCAATGTCCAAAGTAGTAACAGAGGAAGTGAAAAGAAAAAAGTTGATTGCATGTTTTATGTAGTTTTATTTTATTTATGATGGGGGGGGGGGGGGTGGGGGTGGGGGGCTGCGTGGTCTTTGGGCAGTGGGATCGGACGCCCATATGCATTGTCGCGCACGTAAAAAATCCCTTGGCAGTTGGAAATCGAAAAGAGTAACCTGATGAGAATACCCTGGTGCCAACTGCCACAGACAGCCATGCTGAAGAAATATAATGCACACAGAGCCAGGGGAAGACCACACAAGAGATGGAGCGTCACCATCAGGAGCAACCTAAAAGAAATGAACACCAACTTGTACAATGCACTGGAAAAAAGCACACAAAATGAACCTTACTTTTCCCAACACCTCACTGAGGAAAATGGTGGAAGAGAAGAAGAAGAAGAAGTAAAAGGAGACAAATTAGGGGTTTTTCCCTTTTTTTCCTCCGGGGAAGGAATCAACAGTCTGCATACAAGTAAGCCAGATCTGTAAAACGGATGTGCATATAGAATTGAAGTTCTGGAAACATGACTGAAATCTAGAAGTGGAAGAAAATCCAGAACTTTTTGCCGGAGTTTACAGCCATGAAGAAAAGAAGAAGAAGAAGTGTAGGAATATAAAAACAGAACTAATTCTCAATATCAAAATCAAAGATCTGGGGATACATGAATATCTATACCATCTGGCACAGCATATAATCATGATAAAACTACATGATGTTAACAACATGATTACTTTAAAAAAAACCATATTTATACCTCTTCTCATCGAATGTATGTGTACGCTGGTGTAAAGACAATGGCTTGATGGGGTACTGTTTAACCTGGCATGTCTTTGGCTGTGTACGTGGAGTAATGTAAGCTTGGAGTGTCCCATACTGGCCCTCGATAGAACGGACTTTCAGCTCCAATCTGGTAGTGTTTGCCTGACATCGATAAGTAGCTAAGAGGAAGTTCCCTTCCTACATTTACAAAAAAAAAAAAAATCCAAATAAAAATGAATAAAAAATATAGAATAAAATCAAGAGGAAAAGATCATAGAGAAATTATATGCTTCAGGGAGACATTGTGTGGTAACTGGAATGACAACATTCATGCCAGATGGCCGGACAAGCTTATCTGTAGCTCTGTAATGAATTGTATGATCGATTTCAGTCTTAACCTCCCTATATTTTTATTTTTTTTTTTCTTGCATTTTAAATTTTATATCTCCTTGTTATTTCAGACACCACATTTTCACTGCACACAGATAAATCAATAAGTTCTGTTATTTCAGACATCCCACACTTTCACCATATGCAGGATAAGTCAGTAAGTTCTGTTATTTCAGACACCACACTTTCACCACACACAGATAAATCAGTAAGTTCTTTTATTTCATACACCACACTTTCACCACACACAGATAAATCAGTAAGTTCTGTTATTTCAGACACCACACTTCTACCGCACACAGACAAATCAGTAAGTTTTCTATAGATCAGTCTCACCATAGTACTTTTTGCTATAGATCACAAAGCATACATGGAAAGAATCGAAGAGCACCAAGTACTAGAAATTTAACATCAGAGAAAGCTCTACCAAAGTATGTTACGGAGCCAGAAACAGAACCTTATATTCCCTCGACTTCCTGTTCATAAGTGAATGAAGAAGAAGAAGAAGAAGTCTGCCCTGCATTTCTAAGTTCAATTCTGCACTGCAAGTTTCTGCAGTTTTCGTTTCCTGGCATACCACAGTGGGATGGCACCCACTGGAGTACAGATCGCTTTGGGCAGTCACCTTGCCAAGTTCAGATCTCAGGTGAGGGAGCTTACCACTCTTGAGAGCTTGGAGAATCTGAAAGCGCACCTGCGAAGATGACCACTTGTTGGGAGTCTCTGCTGTATAGCTTGGAACAGAATTTACCAGTTGGTTTATACTTTGTGTGGCGGTGGTTTTCTGGGTATGTGATTCAAAGACGCCAGCAACCCCCATTTTTAACCGCACTGGTTGCTGATCCATCTGTGTAAGCATGTACCCACGACTGTTCGTGACAGTCTTTTCTGGATCATACTACAGGTAGCGGATCATTTTGGATGGTCATTGGACTCATCTCCTGCTGTGAGTCCACTGACTGAAAGTCATTATCTGTACTGTGTCACTGAGTTGCTCTCAAGGTACAGGGTACAGGGTAGGTTTCAGCTGTGTTTTCATGAGTAGATCTGCTTGACACTGTTCTTTAAGTCTTTTACCCTGATGGACAAAGCTGCTGCGTACCTTTGAGATGCCCCAGTGCTAGATCATTTTCATCTAGTCTTGCTTTCACTGGTGTTACTGCATACTATTAAATTTCTCCATCTGGATCGTAGTTTTAGTGTCTCTTCTATAGGACAGTGTCTGCATTGCAGTTATTTTCTGCATCTCCAGGATTGGTGCAGTTTTCATGGATCCTGTGATGAGTCTAAGGGCTTGATTTTGCACTCTGTCTAATGATTGTAGATGATAATTAGCAGCTGACAACCAAGCTGTTGCACTAAACTGCAAGTGGGGTCTTATCGCTCCATTATAAACTTTCTTTAGGGTTTTTACATTCACTCCCCACCTTGTACCTGTCAGTTTTTTTAAGTAGCCCTAGTTGTCTCCTGGCCTTCCCTTCTACATATTATATATGTTTGTTCCACATGAGCCTTTTATCAGATGTCTCTCCAAGATAAGTGGGGAAGCTTTCTTCCTTTAATTTTGTCCCTGGGGAGAAGAGAAAAAAGCATTGTGGATGTTTTGTCTGTATTGATGGCAACATGCCACTTTCTGCCCATGTCATTGAGAGATCTGTTGCTCAAATCATCTGCATAAAGGGTAACCTTTATTCCTGTAGGAAGGGCCTATTCTCCAGGTCATTGATGTAAACAAGAAAGAGGGTTGGAGAGATAACTCCTCCCTGTGGCACTCCTTGATGAAGCAACACTTTTCTGCTCTACAGGCCATCAAGAGTGACTCTCGTTCTCCTGTGGTGAAAGAAGGATTGGATCCATTTCAGCATGTTTCCTTGGATTCCATTTCCCTTGTTTTGCAATGAGACCATCTTTCCACACTTTGTCGAAAACTTGTTTTAAGTCAACCCACATCTTTTTCTGCTCTTGGAAGGCATCTTCTACAGCTTGTGACAGGTAGGTGACTTGGTCTTCTATGCTATGCTAAATCCAGCCAGCTCTGACACCAAGATTTGCTCATTTCAGTCTTGAATTGATAATTCCCTCCATTGTTTTTCCTACACAGCTAGTGAGACTGACTGGTCAATAGCTGAAGGCCAGGGTTTTCATTTTATTTTTTTATCATTTGTTTTAGTATGAGTGCTGTGATGGTTCTCTCCATATTTGAGGCACCCAATCCCTTTTCCCAGCTGACAATGAAAATGTCCAGCAGCTTTACTTAAGCAGCTGAGCACAGACTGATCATCATTCCATTGCTGATTTCATCTGAATCTGCAGACTTTGTTAAACTTAAGCCTGGAAATGGCATTTTGAAGTTCACCCATGGTGAAGGGCTCCATCATAGAGGCAGGAGTATTTGTCCATCTCCTATTTGTTTGTATTTCTGTCCGTATTACTCTCTGGTAGTCCTCATTAAGGGTCAGTGCTTTCAACACTGTATGTTCTGGCAAACAAGTCTGCACCTTGTTTTCCTCTGAAGATTTTGTCACCTTCATTCAGTGTCATTGTCTGTCTAGGAGAGAAACTCTCTTCATTGAGTGATTTAGCTAATCTCCAGAATTTCTTGCTGTCTTTGTGAAGATTTAGTTATCTGGAACACTGCTTCATTCTTTTATCCTTTTGATGTGATTGTCAGGTAAAGATTGGAATGGTGCATCCTTTCTAGCCTAGCTCATGGTTTACTGACATGCCTTAAGTGTGTTGGACCAGAAAAGTCTGTGAGTGTGTCAACACCCTCTGGGGATTGCTTCTTTAGCCAACTTGAATACTTCTGCTGAAAACATCAGCAGATATTGCATTAGATGAAAAGTTTAATTTTATTACAGTCAGATTTAAATAATAAATGACTATCTACATCAGTTTTTGATTCTGTGTTTGGTTAAATGTTGTGTTTGCTGCAAAACAACTGTCCCAGTTTTGGTGGGTCACAGACGTCAAAAGGTTGGGAAACACTGATCTATCAAGTGTAGGAGCTAAAAGAAGTAGATATTATCCACTTCAACATAAATGTCACTGCCTTTATGAAAAGTAAACACAGAAAAAGAAAGCAATGACTGTGATGTTCTGAAAACCGGTTGTAACACAATGATTGTGAACTTCTAAAAACCAGTTGTGAATTAGAACACAAATTTATCAATATGTTTGTATCAATTTGTCAAACGTCCTCAGTAACATTCTGATCTCTTAGGATTGTGTTCACAATACAAAAGTTCTACTAATAAACAACACATCTAAAATTACCTCTGGGTTGCAGGCAGAATAGCTGACCACAGCTGAGTTTTTCTCCACATCCATGATTGTGAACTTCTAAAAACCAGTTGTGAATTAGAACACAAATTTATCACTATCTTTGTATCAATTTGTCAAACATCCTCGTAACATTCTGATCTCTTAGGATTGTGTTCACAATACAAAAGTTCTACTAATAAACAACACATCTAAAATTACCTCTGGGTTGCAGGCAGAATAGCTGACCACAGCTGAGTTTTTCTCCACATCCAACAAATCAACCGGCACATCACTCTGAAAAATTAAAGGTACAAATATTCAAGTGATAGATTTAAGGTTTGAGGTTTTGAACAATGGATCAACATCATGGCATCAGTTCTTCTTTTAATCTAAGTCCGAGTCCAAAGAAGCTCAGCACAGTGTACAGGCTCTGTAGCACCGGCAAGGATCCTGAAATACTTTGGGTAGTATTTCCTTAAGTTTGTCCTTTGCAGACAGCCCTTTTTCTCCCCCCTCCCAAACGCATAACAACACGTTCTTTAAGAGTACACTCCGTAAGTACAGTTGCCATTTTGTTTCTGTGTTGCAAATGTGCATGCAACACCTAGCACCACCTAACGAACGTATACATAAAGTTCGATGTTGCTGTCACCTAATGACACATTTAGAAACCATCAACTATATTCTCCTTCCATCCCATAACCATTTGTGACTTACTTGTGGACTTCCCCTCATAATACCTACCTGGTCATGCTGACATAAAGGGTTATAAGCGAGCGGACCGACTAGCAAGCAATGCATCAATTTATGTGGGAAGAAGCAAGGACAGAGCAGATACCATCAAAGCTGTATGGACTGTGCCAGTGGATAATGACCAATCTCTGACACTCATACAATTGCCTGACATGAGAGTAAAGCACGATGAAGTACATCTATGCTGCCTTTGAGGCTGAGATAGGAGACAATATTACCAACCACTTATGGGAACAATTAGTAGAAGTAGCTTGCAGTGGCTGCTGCATCGGAGGAGTGAGCATGCATGGGAATACTCAATGTGCAGTGAAGTTGACTGTGTTTGATAACATAACATAACATAAATTAACAGGGCACTAGAACAGAAAATAACTAGATGTGAAATGGGCCGTCTCCATAAGGTCACTAACACAAAAAGAGACAGGGTTACAAATACCAACATTAGAAAGTTGGGATAAGACTGTGTCTGAATTATATTTACCAACAAAGAATGAAATGATCTGACCATCTAGTGAGAATGCAGCCAGACCAAACAGCAAATGAGACTTTTTACAGCAGAACAACTGGGAGAAAGGAAAGGGGAAGACCAAGAAAGAGATGGATAAATGGTGTAGCTGAAACCTGTAAAAAGGATGATCAAATCCACCACCCAAGCCACCTGAGTAGCACAAGACAAATACAGAAAGCCACAACGCTCTGCTACAACCTGGTATCAGTGAGTTAACAAAAAAAAGAAAGATGTTTCAGTCATTTTCCCTGTTTATGCCTCCATTCTGTAGTTAAGTTAGTTGCCATTCCTTTACAGGACATTGTAGAACCAACCCCATCATTTTTTGGCTGCTGTGGTTTTTCTAGGCAAATTTACGTCCAGTAATTTGGCATTGCTTTCTGGACGGTCGGCTTCCTGACACAACTGTCGAAACCAACGCAAGGTGCAAGGCCCACAGCTGGGATCGAACACAGCACCCCCGCATTACGAAGCCAGAGACGCAGATGCCATACTGTAGTAGTTTGACAAATTTAGAGGTTTGTTCACTGCAAAGTTTACCGTCAGACTTTCACCTTCACTGGTGCTGTTGGCATCAGCGATTTGTGATGGGATATAGAGCTTTACCAGTTGGATTTATGTTATTTATCCTGATGAGTGCTTGAGATACTCATTAAGAGATTTGCGCTGCAAGCTGAGGTTAAAGTGGGGTTGTTTACATGCTTAATCACACTGGAAAAATGATATTCCTTTTGATGATCACAAAGATAGGACAATCAACGTTGTGAGTTGTTAAGCCCACAGTCTTTCTACTTCTCGACTGATGATTTTATTGTCTACTCCAGTGAAGCAGAGCATGTGAAACGAGATATTCAAACAAGTTGACAGAAACGAACACTATACTGATTTTATGTTGGAGTTAAAAATCTGGGACTCGCTTAAATATATTCTGTGTAGTCATCTGTTATTGAATGCTTGTATCAGTAATTTTTTTTCCTCAAGTCATATTCCTGCTTATGCTTCATAAAGCAGTCCTGATTTGAGTTAAACATTCCAGTTAGGTAATAATTTTAATGGCAGCCCCTGTGGTGTAGTGGCTAGCTTCTCTCCTGCGGAACCAAAGGTTATGAGTTCAAATCTAAATGGGACCAGACTCTTTTTTAAATGACATTGGCTCCCAGGTCAACGTAGCCTTACATGGGTAACAGGTAAAGTCCTGGGAAGAAAAAGCAGCCGGTGTGATGTTAATCGCTAACACCCACAATGTGCTGACTGATCTATAGAATAAAATAAATAATATAATTACAGTTTATCACAAAAACATGAACCAAACCTGTAGGAGGATGTTATCAATGGGGCTTTGCAGCTCCAGGCTGAGTGTGTAGCTAGCGTCATCTTTGTTGAGGACAAACTTGTCACCGATCGGAAACAGCGGAACTGCTGATACAGCTGTCTTTGAGTTGGCCGTTTGCTGATATTTGTCTCTTTCGTCCGACACCTTCTTCTGTAAATCATCCAGTTCAGACCTGCATTGATTTAAGAGCGAGTATTATGTATTTGCATATGCAAAACTATACGTTGCCAGTCTGACTCCTAATTCCAACATACCGCGATCGAAACCCACTGTTGGCTGCGTGGATTTTTATCATGGTATGGGACATCTCAGGTCGACCCAGCCTAAAATGGGTACCAGGATGGGCTGTCCTGGGGAAGTAAAGATGTCCAGCGTAATGCTGACCACATTACCCACCCAGTGCCGATTGGTCTGTAAAAATATGGGTCCTCTTCTCATATGCCCGATGCGCCTAAAGGAATGAAAAGGGATCTTTACTTTTTAATTTTTATATGCAAAACTACAGGAGCCCAAACAAATTCAGAGCTAAGGATCCCATGTGGGATGCAATTTTTTGTTATTTTGAAGCATTACCCTGGCTTTTGCCAGGGGGTCGCAATAGGGTTGAACACGGTTTCTAGGACCTCTCCACGGGTGATCCTCATCCATATGGTGGCACTTTGTGTCATCTTTCGCTCTGTGTGATGTCCTGGTGAGGTCAAATTTACTTACTATAAATTTTTTTTTACAGCTTTTAGCATCACAAAGTATAAATTTTTCCCTACACATACAGCTCATGCACTGTATCTGTTGTACTCTTCTTGCCCCTCTTCAATGTTGTTCAAGGGGTAGCAACTGTAGCATAGTTAGTGACTGACTGACTTGATTTTTTTTTTACCCCACCAGGACATCACACAAGCAATAAAAGCTGATGACACAAAGTGCCACTATGCAAATGATGATCACCCGTGGAGAGGTCCCAGAAACCACTTTCAGCCGTAAGCTATATCTATGCCCCGGCTATATTCAGGGTCCATAGCAGAATCCAGGGTGGGATTTCAAATAATCAAAAATTGTATTCTGAATGGGGATGACTATAAACTGAACTGAATTTCTACCCCACCAGGACATCACACAAGCAACAAACATCCGATGACACAAAGTGCCACCATGTGGATGAGGATCGCCGTGGAGAGGTCCCAGAAACCGCGTTCAGACATTTGGCCATATATATATATATATGGCCTGCCTATATTGCGGCCCCTGGCAAAAGCCAGAGTAGGGCTTCAAATGACAAGAAACTATGTCCTAAAAAGTACGAAATTGGATAACTAAGCTTGATCACACTAACATTTATTTGACAGCAAATTAATTGCAATGTCTTTCTTTGCAAAAAAAAGTTGTTTCTCATTAGTGAATTATAAATTTACATTTATATTTTTTAAATGTTCTGCACACAAAAAATACAGGAAAATAAATATTGGTGGGAATATTGTGTTAGCTCAGTAACATCTCTTCTAAAATTTTTTTTTTTTTAATCTATTAAACTGCATTGTCTTTCTTCGCAAAGAGTTGTTTCCCTTTTTTAAAACAATATTTTGTACTTCTGTTTAAAATGTTAAACATGAGAATCAGTGTAATAAAATTGGCAAAATATACATTGAAAATTTGACACAAATGTGTAGAAGAATACTGTACACAGTAAAAAGTATAGTATATATGTTAAATGTGTTAAATATTTTTGGATATGATTTCAATTATGCAAATTTTATAAAACCAAAATCCCTAACAAATCCTGTCATGCCGCTACCTTCCTGGGATGGGGATAATGTTGATCAAAAATGCAAATCCCATGTGCCCTGCCACACCCACAGACTCCATGTTGACTGGGTGCCAAGCACTAGGGTAAACCATTCTCTTGGACCACAGGAAGCAGGTTTGCTCTCATAGCATCTCTGTGTCCGAAGGTCCAAGGACAACTCATATTTAAAAGGAAATCAAAGAGTGTAATGATAGTCAACTGGGTCAGCTTAATTTTATTGCTGATGAGTTCTATCCCATGTAGTTCGGTTATTGCGTAACAGTTAGCGGAGAGCTCTGCATAAACAATTTAAAAACAAAAGGAAGTAGCCATAAAATAATTCTATGAGGCAAAGCTTTATCAGTTCAGTACAGAGACACTACCCTTCTCCTTCTCCTCCTCCCCACCCCTAAGTATTGATATATACTAACTTGGTTATTTAAAAAAAACCAAACCTGAGGGGAAATACTGAAAGTAAGAGCTAGAACGGGAAGATAACATCAAGAGACGACTTCACCACAGTCTCCGGTGGAGTATCTAGACCTTGTGCTGTCTCATTTAAAGGTGCCACATTTTTTTTTTTTTCAATTTTATTTCTGTGAAATCATGTGGCACTATTGCTCTGTGGTCAGTGAATGAGTTTTACTATCCTCAGTATATAAGGGTTCAGTTCCCCCAACAGATGGTTTATCCAAGACCGGCTCCAGCTGACGTGCTATGCTGTTGACGTCACCAAACCGGGCTAACGATACATTAACGCAGCGATTCTCAAATTGGGTGCCGCGAGCGAATGTCAGGGGTGCCCTGGCAATAATCAAGAATTTTTCCAAATTTGCTTGACATAAAATTTGCAGAGGTTTTTTTTTTTTTCTGCTTTCAAACGCTTAAAGGTTAAGTGTGCCATGACATTTCTTTTGCCCAGCGAAAAAAGTTTCAAAAACGCTGCGTAGCGTATCATTAACCTGGTTTAATGACCTCAGCAGCATGGCTCGTCAGCTGGCGCCGGTCTTGGTTCATCTGAAGAAACACAACCCTCTAGTAGTAGTAGTAGTAAATTTTACCCAACTAGAACTTCACACAAGTGATTAACACTCGATGACACAAAGTGCCACCACGTGGATGAGGATCAATCGTGGAGAGGTCCCAGAAACCGCGTTCAGCCATTAGACCATATTTATGGCCCGGCTAAATTGCGACCCCTGGCAAGAGCAAGGGTGGGGCTTCAAAATAATGAAAAATTGCATTCCACAAGGGGATGACTAGTTATTACAACCCTCTAGTGGCATTTGGACAGTGGTATGAGGGTCTCCATGTGGAAAAAAATTGGAACCTCACAAGGTAATATTCCCAAAGTCATAGAGGGCGTACTGTGGCTAACCTCATTGTGGAGACAGCACAGCTTTAATTTTAAAATCATTTTATTAAATTTGTACACTGTTACATGTATTCTTTGATCCCTTCTTCAATTCTCCATTTTCTATAAATGTCAATTAATACTTTTTCATTACATTAACTGCATTGTCTTTCTTTACAAAGAGTTGTTTCCCATTAGCTAAATAATAATGTGTATGTTTTTTTTTTTTTTTATGTTCCACATGAGAATCAGTGCAATGAATCTGGCAAATATACATTTATAACTTGACATCATATGTAAAAAAAAATATTGTACACAGTAAAAAGCACAATATATATGTCAAATATTATAATCATTTTTGGATATGATTTCAGATATGCAAATTTTATAACACCCAAAACCCAAACAAATCCTGTCATGCCGCTACCTTCCTGGGGTGTGGTATATGTTGATCAAAAATGCAAATCCCATGTGCCCTGCCACACCCACAGACTCCATGTTGACTGGGTGCCAAGCACTAGGGTAAACCATTCTCTTGGACCACAGGAAGCAGGTTTGCTCTCATAGCATCTCTGTGTCCGAAGGTCCAAGGACAACTCATATTTTAATTAAATGAATGTGTTTGAAAATGATTTTGTTTATAAGTGAGTGGCTGGCACTATTTTGTCTCTCATAACAGCTTGCTGTGAGCACTGCACAAAGCACAAACTCCATAGCTCAGGTGGCAATCTCACCCACACAGACAAATTGTGAACAAAATGAAGCATCCATGAAATGACCACATGCAAGGGGGGGGGGGGGGGCGTAACCGCTTCACTGCGGGGGAAACCCTATGTGTACTAACATGTAGCTCTATTTTTCTGTGTACAAAATTCTTTGTATAAGATTACATGTTTTCTTTCCACAAATTTTTTTACAGCTTAACAATAGCAGTCCCCTTACACAAAGAAAGTTTAAAATGTATTTTTAAAACTTTGGCTAAAATAAAATGAAGGAAGGGGGGGTCATCTTATACATGGAATGTCATACATGCGGAGGAAAATATAGTAATAACAAGGAATTCAAAACCGAACCTGAGGGGAAAGTTGAAGGCAAGAGGTAGAATGGAAAGATAACATCAAGACATGATTTTGCCACAGAGACCACAGTCTTCAGTGGAGTATCCAGACCACAGCTATTCAACCAAGTTTAATTAGGGGCCAAAATATTGAAACTGTGTATCATCAGGGGCCAGAGGGCTCAAGCTTCAGTACAGAAAGATGACTAATTCAATACAACTGGCAGAGATCAGCAGGCCACTTGCTAGGCCTCCATGGACCACTTTTAGCCCATGGGCCGCCAGTTGAAGAGCCCGGATCTACACCTTATGCTGCTTCATTTAAAGAAACATAGAGAAATTAATGAACTAATGGCTTCAACTACCTGTATTTCAAAAGTCACCATTTTAACATGGCAGCAAGCTACCCAAAAAAAAAAAAAAACAATCACAGGAGCAAGCGATCATGGCAGCCTGGCCATATGGTCGGCCTGTTACATAATGTGCGATCATGTTAGTCAGTGGGAAAAACATCTGTTAATTAGATCTTTATAGTTGTTCCACTATATAAAAGATATTTTCAGGCATCAAACGAAAATAGCATAGATATAAGAAGACCCCTGCATTATCTCTTTATTTTAAACTAGCCTCTAAAATATTGGTGACTGAACTATGTTGTGAGAGTTGATTTCCCAGTTTGCATTCCAAGAACACATCCACTGCCTTTCTATGAGACATGTAGTTAAAGGTAACAGAGTCAGAGTTCATTTGTCTGAGAGGCACAGAACCAAAAGTCTGCATATAAACAAGCAAGATCTGTAAAATGGGTGTGCATGCAAACTCAAGTTCTGGTACACCAAGGTCCAGATGTGAACAAACAACCAGAACTTTCCACCAGAGTTTACAGTCAGTGAAGGCTGAGAAGAAGGAGAAGAAGGACCACCCTGTATGGATCTTGGCCAAAAGGCTTAACAGCAACTGTCTAATGTTTTGAAAAAAAATATCTTAGAGGTGAGAGGATCAACTTTATTGCCCCGGATTGCATCCTAAATGGCTCAGTCTATTACAGAATGGCTAGGCATCTGTTCAGAGCATCACATAAAGTAAGAACCCCTATATCTCCACTGATAACAACCCCCCCCCCCCCCCCTTTTCCCCCAGGGATCCCTGAAAAGTCTGATCTGAAATAAGCAGTCCAAAAATGAAACTACAACCTTCAAATTGTGAGGCAAATGACTAAACAACTTTGCCACAGGAACTCTTCAAAAGTACTTTGTTGTAATGGCAAGATATCATATTTCCCTGAAAAGAGACAGCTTATTCTGGTGTTTTTTATTCAATTTTGTTCCCAAAGATGCCTAAGGGCTTATCTTCATGGGATGTCTTAATATTATTTGATGGGGACGGAGCGCTTATGGGAATGCCCTGAGTGCTGTGATGTCGGTTCTTGAATCAACTCAACTCAACTCTTAAAGCATTATTGTCAAAATTATTATCTACTTTTAGTTAGACGTTCATTCATTACTTATATCACTCAGTACGTCTGTAATGTGGTCCAACAGGGGAATGGAATACGTCTGCTTGACAAACATAACTAGGGCTAACATTTGTGGTAGGGCTTAGATTATGAGCATTCTGCAAAATCACGCTAGGGCTTATTTCTGGATTAGGTCATAATTTCAGGGAAACACGGTTACTGTCTTTGCATTGTCCTGACACAAAAAAAAAAAAACTAACTAACAATCTAAACCGAACATAATAAAAGTTTTAAAAAAACAAACATGCTCGATAAAACAACAACAGAAAAGCACATCTAGCCTTCAACTGCAGAAACCAGACCTACTTGAGATTCTCAATTTTAGCAACAGCAGCCGCATCAGCAATTACTTGCTGTGGTCCTGCTTCTTTAGTAAGTTGTTCAGTAGTGAGAGCAAACACCCAGCCTGTTCAAACCAACACCAAAAGCTTCACATGCATGTTAAGTAAGTTAGTTATTAGTTAGTTAGTCAACAGATCATGCCCACTTCACATCGAACCATTCAGTCCATAGAAGGTCTGAGGTAGTTAGCGTTCTTTGAATATTTTCTTCAGGTCATGCTGGTGTGTTGGGAAATGAGCAGGCAGATAGACTGGCCAGTTTTGCAGCACCACTTGGTGGTGATGTATGACAAGCTTGATGTTGTGAGGGTTCGCTGTGAGCGAGTGAACAGTGCGGAGGCACAAATAGACCACTACGGTCTGAGGAGAGTAGCACCGTGGGGAGTTACCAGGAGTCTGGCTGAGGCTCAAGAAAAAAGTGAGATGGATGTATAATCAGACAGTTACTGGTACCATCGGAAATGGAACTCTTCGCTTGCCGCTGAAGATTGGGACGGAGAGCTTGGTCTCACCTTATGTTTTGCTCCACTGACACCACCACACCATGGGCAAGAGTCTTGGCTGACTGGCTAAACTACATGAGTGAAGTGGGAGTAATGTCCTTCTATAAGGGAATGTCCCATCCCCAGTACACAAAGACTGGGACAGTGAATAAGGCAGAAGAATCAATAAAGATCAATGGCTTGTAAAGTGAAACAGCAAGAGTGCATGGCACATATGTTCAGGACACAATAGAGAACATGACTGGCCATCGTGGAAGAGGCTAGGACCTCACCATGTATGACCCTAAAGTTAGCAATGGAATCACAATGAAAAAGCGTGTTGGAGATCCACTGCTGCCAACTTCATTGTGGAGATGGCACCTGATTGATTGATTGATTGACTGATGCATAAAGAAACACCTCAGAGAGAACTGGATAGTGCATACAAGGACACAATAGAAAGATAAATCACAGGAGAACCCTTGGGGTCTTTGAAACAGCATGATAACAGACAAACTGATATATATATTGAAAGGCACTCACAGATATAGAAATAAGAAGTAGAATGAGAACACACTAGACAACATAACAATGGAAAGAAATATTGTATATTCGTGTATAATGTGCCCATATGGATAAGACAAATCCTTTTTTTTTTTACCCAAAATTAATAAATAAATATATAAGAATAAGACCCCCCCCCCCCTTTCATCACCCCTTTCTTGTCTTTCCCTGAATAACTTTAAACTTTAACAATTTTAGAAAACTGTGTCTTATATATAGAAAAATTTAGTAGTTGCCATACTGTAATTTGAACCATTTGCCTCCGAATCCTGAAAGTCCCTTACCATGTGGGTTCTGGGGCCCAAGTGTGGGGAAAACAAGATTAGACCCACTGCCTTCCCAAAAAGCATGTTGTTAAATGGGGACACTCTTCAAAGTCAGAGTGCATCTGCCTGAGAGGCACGGAACCAACAATCTGCACACAATCAGCCAGATCTGGGAAAAAGATGTGCATCCATCACTGAGGTTTTAGAACAAGACTAAAGCCCGGAAGCAGACGACCCCCAGAACTTTCTGCTGGAGTTTACAGCTGGTGAAAATAAAGATAATGATGATAGTTCCTGCCAAAAGAAACAAATGCAGTTGTGCACGCGGGGAACGAAACACCCCTAAAAGATGTGTCTTCATTAGTTTGATCTTTAAAACAGCTGAACCAACAACAATGGAATATGGTCAGAATTTTTATCAAACATTTAAATAGCACCATAGATTTACAGAAATGTGCACTGATCCAGCAAAGGTTTTTAAAAAACATATCAGACTTCTTCTTCTTTGCATTCACCGGCTATAAACTCCGCAGAAAATGTTGGTTGTGCAGCCACTTCTGGACTTTGTTCATGTTCCAGAACTTGAGTTTTGCAAGCACATCCATTTTCCAGGTCCGGCTTACTTTATGCAGACTGCTGGTTCCTCGACTCTTAGACAGATGCACCCTGGCTTCGAAGAAAAAAATCCTTAATTAGTCCTCCTTCACGACACACTTGTTAGGAAGGCAGTGGATTTATTCTCCCCCCCCCCCCCATCCCCTAAACTGGGCCCCAGAGCCCACTTGGAAAATAATTAATCTAAAAAATGTGTTCCGATATTTTACTATATTCCCAATATTCACTGTACATGTTGTCTGATATTTCTTCATAATGTTTAAAAAAAAAAAAAAAAAAAAAAGCAATGCAGCATAATACAATCAACCTTATCGATTCTACCATGTCATTCCTCCTGAGGTGTGTGACAATTAGCCAGATAATATTAGAACAATGTTGAGCAGCAAGTTAGCATTCCAAGCATTAGACTACTTATTGTACCACTAGTTGCCAGTTAGTCCATGCTGGTTAGCGCAATATCCAAGCTCTGATATAATACCTCAGCTGCTTCACGGCCGTTATCCCCTCTTTGGTAAAACCATGCTTGAACGGTGAGCTCTTTGGTTTAGTGTTTAACCCAAATACACAACCTGGCATGATGGCAATGTCTCAAACATTGAAGATAAAGGAACTAGCTAATACATAAGGCCTTTTTCAAAGGTGTAACAATTACCATATTTGGTCTGACTTGGGAACATTTAATGGCAAAAGCACCTGCGCAATCCAGTTTCTTCTTCTGATTCTTCTTCTATAGTGTGATCCTCTGTGTACTGTCCGAGAATTTAAGACCATGACCAACACGTCAACTGGCAATAGAGATGGGAAAGGAGCACAGGGAAGGCAAAAAGAACAATACCTGCATGGCTTAGCCATATGGAGGGCCAAGAACACTGACCTTATCTGTGATTCTGGTAAAAGTTTGAGTTGAATCTGGTTGCTCATCCACGTCTGGACCTTGGTCTTTTTTTTCAAACCTTGAGTTTACATGTACATCCCTGGTTCACGTTTAACGTTCTTATGTGCAACCTGTTGGTTCTTCAGCCAGACACAATCTATCTTCTAAGGAAACACCTCCTATTTAGTCACTTGTTGCGGAGGGGGGGGGGGGGGGTCTATTCTCCTTTCTCCCAAAATTGGGCCTTGAAACCCACATGGAGAACAGGCTTAACAAAAAGTGCAAGGTAACTCACTTCAAGATTACATGATAAAACCTAATCAAGCCAAAATGTGACTTTTTTTTTTTATGCCTCAGTTAGTTTTTTAATATTTATAGTAAAACATCATGTCCTGGGGAAGTAAAGACGGCTGGCGTAATGCTGACTACATTACCCACCTAGTGCCGATTGGTCTGTGAAAATATGGTTGCTCTTCCCATATGCCCAAGGCGTGACAAGGGATCTTTACTTCACTTATAGTAAAACATCCTTGCACAGAACAATTCTTTTTCTTCTTCTTCTTCTTCTTTCTTCTTCCCGTTCACTGTAAAGCCAGCTCAGTGAGTTGCTCGTCCACTTCTGGACTCTAATCCTGTTCCAGAAACTGAGTGTTGTGTGCACATCTGTTTCACAGGTCTAACTAATTTGCAGGCAGACTGTTGGTTCCTTGCCTCTCAGGCAGATGTACTCCGACTTTGAAGAAAGCTGTAAATTAGTCAACTCTTATGACATACTTGTTGGGGAGACAGTGGGTCTATTCTTGTTCTCCCCACAATTGGGCCCCGGAACACACACAGGGACTTTTTTTTCTTCTGTTGCCCAAACAATGAAATGGAGATTGGCAAGTTGTAGTTTACAGCTAGGCTTTTTGGACAAACATATCCAATTTCACCAAGTCCCCAATTACTTGTCTTTTATGATATGCTTGTTAAAGGCAGTGGGCTTTTTAAACCTCCCCCTCCCTTGCCCCAATCCCACCCCACAAGTGGGACACTAGAGCCCACAAAGGGGAAGCCCAGCACCAAACCTGGGGGGAACTGCTATTTCTTCAAAAGGCTCAAAGAATAAATAAGATTAAAAGTATATTTTGAAAATTATATAATATAAATAAAGCAATTTGTATCATCTGGAATAAAAATCACAGAAAAAGAAGAAAAAAAACAGGAGCATGCAAACCTGCATTCTATATAAAGGAAAAAATATCATGTGCTAGGGTTGGTGTAACTTAGATGTTACATCTGCAGCAGGCTTAAACAGGGTGGTTGGCATGTAACATTGTGGTTTACAGTCAGACTGCAATTTCTTTGCCTTTTGGCTCAACATATCTAAACCTTAGAAAATCTCTATTAGTTGCCTTTCACGTCATCTTGTTGTGAAAGCACCGGGTCCATCCCTCCCACCAAATTGGCGCCCCAGAATCTACACATGGGAATGTTTCAACCAAATAAAAGTGGTAGTACTGAACACATATGGGGGGGAGGGGGGGGAGGCAATGATGAGGGGAATTAGTCACCACACCCCATTATGATGGGGCCCAGAATATGTGAAGCCCTGACATTTCCTATCCAAAAGTTGTCTCTGCAATCAAACATTAATCACTAGGGAAAAAAAAATTTTCTTACCTGCGTATGTGCAGCAGACAATCTCAGGAAAATCTGGCGATCCCACAATTCCACCTTTCACGGAAGTGATACTCTCATTTCCACTCTGTTTTCAGAAAAATATAGAACGACAAAAATGACCCAAAAAGCATTACGCATTAATACGAACAATCTGTTTCGCATTCAGATGTCTGACTTTAATTTATCTTTATCTACAACTGTTACTATTTTCAAATAACATGCAAATGCAAATGAGTCAGACCTGTGAAATGGATGTGCAAGCAACACTCAGTTTCTAGAGTCTAGAAGTGGATGAACAACCAGAACTTTCTGTCGGAGTTTACAGTCGTTGAACCTGAAGAAGAAGGAGGTGAGCACATCTGCCTGAGAGGCAGGTAACCAAAAGTCTGCCCACGAATAAGCCAAATCTGTCAAATGGATGTGCACACAACAATCAGGTTCTGCAACAAGACTAAAGTCTGGAGGTGGACAAACACTCAGAACTTTCTGCGGGAGTTTACAGCTAGTGAATACAAAGAAGGAGGAGAAGATGAAACAAATTACTTTAAACTACTAACTATAAATTAGTAACCAATCTGAACGAGGTACCAGGTAATGTCCTGGTAAGTAATGACAGACGGAATGATGTTGACTAGATCAGAGGTTCTCAAACTTTTTTCGCCACGGCACCCTTGCCAAGTAAACACGTTTTTGCTGCACACCTACCCTTAAGGCAGTTTGAATACTTTGGAGAAAAAAAAAAAGCAGTGCAAATTTAATGTTCATTTGTCTTTAATGTGATGAATAAAACTGTTTCGATGCATTTTTTAATTATTTCCTTTAGGTTTATGGGAAGTAAAATTAACTGTACTCTCAGATCACTTGAAAGTTGCTCCTATATCTGTACTGTTATGTAAGCATACTTTGAGAATGCACTGCAACCTTGCCAATAGCATTGTTTTCTGAATACACCTACATGCAGAACTCTTCTTAGTTTCCTTCATGGTATTTTGTATTTAAACTGCTGTCTTCACTTATTTCAGGCAGATTTAGAAAAATTCTTGATTATTGTTGCGGCACCTATGGCATATGCACCCAGTTTGAGAACCCCTGGACTAAATCACCAATCGAGTGCCAGGTCTATTTTAAAAAAAGGTGCTGTATGCCTGATGCACCAGAGATGTGAAAAGTGTCTGTTCCTAATTACTATATGCCTGATGGGCCCTAAGACCTGACAAGTATCCACAATGAAGGTAGGATGTAATATCTTACTGTCACTTTTTCAAATATGTCTCTGCTTACCTTTTGATCACCCACCTTTAACTTTTGCCTCTAGTTTGATTGTTTTATATGTGTGCCATGCTTTCTTATTTGTTTTATTTTTATTCTTTTTTCTTCTGCCCTACTGCATGCAGCTCACCCTGACTACCCCCCCCCCCCCCCCCCCCACCCCCACCAAAAAAAAAATAGCATTTAGCATTCTTCTAAACCCATTCTTCTTCTGAGTTTGCCTTTAAAGGGACAGTTGACACCTCGTATTGTGGTTTACAGCTAGGCTGCAATATTTACCCCCTTTGGCCTGACACACTGGCTGGATTCTGGCAAACTTCCAGTTAGCCATCTTTTACTACACTTTCTGTTTATGGGGGCAGAGGATCTATGCAGCCACAGAGCCCAGGTGGGAAGAAGTAGGAAGTCATTTCCTTCACCACCACCACCACCATCATCATCAGCATAATCATCAAGATCACATTGCTGTCATCATCATCCTCAGAATCATTATTATCCTATTTCCTTCCCACCAACCCCACATGAGGATCTAAACCCACACAGGGAGTCATGGTAGAGCAGGGGCTGGCATGCTTGCCTGCTGGTCTAGTGATCAGGAGTTTGAGTCCCCATCAACAAAGAACACTGTTTAAAACTGATCATGCCTCCCATCTTGTGCCGATTGGTCTATAAGATGTAGGTCCAGCCCCGTATGCCTAAAGGCTTAGAAAAGGGTCCTTTACTTTTTTACTTATTTATTTATCTTCTTCAGCGATCTCTGGTCATGTGCATATTTCACTGTGGGCCCTAAACTGGGATGTCTTTTCAAGGTCTCTTAGGTTTCCCCAAAGCTTAGTTGTCAGTTCTAATGGGTGTTGCCATATGTCGCTCCGCAGCTCCGCCAGGAGAGGACAGTCTTGCAGGACATGTTCTGGAGTCTGTTCAGCACGAAGGCACTGGCAGAGAGCTGTTTGGCTCATACCTAATTTATGTGAGTGTTTATTGAGTCTGCAGTGTCCCGTGCGTGAGCGAAAAACTGTGACTTGGTCTGTTCTGTTCAAGTGTTTCAGAAAATCTTTTCCCTAGTTATAACCAGTGTTGGTTTTCCAATCTGTTTCTGTATTTATTTATGATTCTGATTAAAGTAAAATGCCTGAGTTACTACTTCCCAATGTGGGTTTTGGAACCCCAGGGGGAGGGGGAGCTGAAACCAGTTTAAAACTAAAAGCTCTGGAAAGTAAAGGCGGTCAGCACCATACTGACCAACCACATCACCCATTGAGTGTCACTTAGTTTATTCTAAGTATGTGACTAGAACCAAGATTCATCTACAAGATAGAACACTGAACACCTACATAGCTGTAGCGAAACACTGGCTCGTCTGTTTCATCATAGCTGTACACCTCCACCTGTCCATCGTCACGACCCACCAGAAGATCCAAAATGCCGTCTCCTATGATGTCATAATTATCCAGGCATAATATACCTGGTAAAATCAAGGGAGACAAAAAAAAAATCAAAGCCATCCTAGCTGCAGACAATAACAGGTAACAAACAATACAGATTTTCACAGTGTCAAACTCAGAATGACATAAACATTATGTAGATAGTTATGTTACACTCTTTTATCACGTCTGCACATTTTTTTCTGTGTTAACCTTTGACAGCGGTATACAGCTAGGCTGGCGATATCTGTGCTTTTCAGTGACACACAACTGATTTCACCAAAATCCGTAATTAGCCACCGTTACGACTAGCTTAACGCTTTGAGTCCAAGGGGGTTAAGCATCACAGGCCCAAGGGGTAGTCAAGAGAGACATAAAATCATCTTGCGTTTATTGGGCTTCTAGGTAGGAACCTATGAACGTATGATGCGTTCCTTGGGACTCAAAGAGTTAATGCAGTGAGTCGATTCTGTTTTCCCCATAATGGGGCTCATTCAAATAGAAAGCTGATTAATGAGACACTTGCTCTTAACTCGTAATCATCTTCATTATGAAGTACCTTGCCGACTGGCATGGGTGATCACACCACTGCACAATCTGTGACCTTCAAATGAATGTATTGGTTCCTGTATCAACACCTTACCATGATAAAAGATTGTCAAGTTACATCTCACATTGTCTTTCTCAATCTCTTTTTCCTACAGATCTTGCTAGTGGTCACATGTTTCAGTTTCCAGTGCTTTCTTAATATCCTACCCCAAACAGGGGAAATCCACAGGTCACAGGACAGTCTAATATTTCAGGGAGTGGTAGATAGACTGCATGCAGTCGTGGGACCTAGGGTGCACTCTCTCATAGGACGTAGGTTGATTGGGGTTAGGGCCAGTTCCAGATGTTTTGGGGTTGTTAAACGCATCAGAAAACGAGAAAATTCAGTCTTACCATCATCTAAAAAGGACTGTCCTGTGACATCATCTGGGGTAGGATATTTTAGAGAACTCAGTTTCCTTCTTGTCATAACATGACCAAATGATGACTGTCTCTCTCTGATGTTTGTGATAAGTTGTCATAAGGTGGCTCTTCTAAGGAAGAGCTTTTGTTACATGTACGAGTTAACTGTTATGTGTACGGTTTAAGTTAAAGTTAAATCTAGTGGATCTGTTTCACTGCACCAGATTGTACTTTATATGGCTCTGTCACTCTCCACATGTCGTTGTCTGTGACTTAGACATTGCTTCATAATGCCAGGGTGCGAGGTTTGATCCTAGAAAAACCACAACAGCCAAATAGTGCTGGGATTGGTTCTGCAACGTTCTGTGAAGGATATGCAACTAACTAAATAACCCTCTCCACAGGGTGTCTGCATTTTTCTTTTTCTTCTTCTTCTTCTTATTCTTCTTCTTCTTAGCAGTCACCCAGCTGTAAACTCCAGAGAAAAGTTTTAGTTGTTCATCCACTCCTGGACTTTGGACTTGGTCTAGAACTTGAGTTCTGCATGCAAATCCATTTTACAGATCTGGCTTATATGTATGCAGACTGTTGGTTCCTCACCCCTCAGGCAAAGGAACTTTGATTTCTAAAGAAACAGTCCTAATTAAGTTGCCTTTTACGACCTGCTGGTCAGAGGGGCAGTGAGTCAATCCCCGCCCCTTTCCTCCTCCCCCAAAATGCAGCCCCAGAAGTCACACAGAGATGGATGGCTGAAATAAAACTCATATCCTTCAGGGCACAAGGCAAATGGTTTGACCACTTTGCCACACAGACCCTTCTAATCATTTGTACATGGCTGCTTGCTTCACTGCATGTTTAGTAACCTGGCCAACGAGGTCTGCACCAAAATGAACTGTTCAAATATAAACAAAGCTTCTTCCTGACCATTGTCTCTCTTGTTTGCATGATACCTGGGACAGATGACAAGAGTAATGAAGAGGTCTTGAAAGAAAGTGACTAACAAAAAGAAATTATCGCTCTCATCAGAACGAGACAATCTGCATTCTTTGGTCATGTCACGAGAAGAAGAAAACTGGGGTACATCATGCATAAACCTGCATATTTAAACAACCTATCCAGCCATAAACGTATTTAACTCTACTCACCTCCGCCTCTTTTCTCATTGGCCAATTCCCATCGATTATTTGGCACTAACCTGAAGATTATTTTCAAACAAATTTTAAATGCGTAGTTTAATGAAGTATAATTGTCCAATAGTTTTATTTTTAAAAGTTATACATTGTTAAAACATGAAAACTGTTTAGACAGATAATGATTTCAAAGTACATTAAACACTCAAATTAACTGACTACTTTAAAATACAGTAAACCTTCAAATTAAATGACTAAAAATGACTAACTGCAAAGAATGAGTGTCCTTCAATGCCGATAACTTGTTAAACTTTAAATACCATAGGGGTTAAAGTAAAGGTATTCCTGTAAAAGAGACTGGTAAATGCGAAAAAGAAGAAGTGTGGAAAGGAAAGGAACTGGTCACCCTACCTCACAATGTCATGGCCAACACTTCACACAGCAACAGATGCGGAACTACCTTTTAAAAGTATACAACTTCTTCTTCTTTTGTCATCTCAGTGATACCAGGTTGTAGCCCAGTGTCGTGGTGTTGTCGTCCCACTGATACCAGGTTGTAGCCCAGTGTCGTGGTTTTGTCGCCTTACCAATACCAGGTTGTAGCCCAGTGTCATGATTGTGTCATCTCACTAATACCAGGTTGTAGCCCAGTGTTGTGGTTTTGTCGCCTTACTAATACCAGGTTGTAGCCCAGTGTCATGATTGTGTCATCTCACTGATACCAGGTTGTAGCCCAGTGTCATGATTGTGTCATCTCACTAATACCAGGTTGTAGCCCAGTGTCATGATTGTGTCATCTCACTGATACCAGGTTGTAGCCCAGTGTCGTGGTTTTGTCGCCTTACTAATACCAGGTTGTAGCCCAGTGTCATGATTGTGTCATCTCACTGATACCAGGTTGTAGCCCAGTATCGTGGTTTTGTCGCCTTACTAATACCAGGTTGTAGCCCAGTGTCATGATTGTGTCATCTCACTAATACCAGGTTGTAGCCCAGTGTCGTGGTTTTGTCGTCTTACTAATACCAGGTTGTAGCCCAGTATCGTGGTCTTCTGTATATGTCTTGCACTTCTCGGGCGGCTTGGGCAATGGATTTGTTCATCCTTTTGCAGGTTTCAGCTACACCATTTATCCATCTCTTTCTGTGTTTTCATCTTGCCTTCCTCCTAGATGTTTTGATGTAAAAAGTCTCATATGCAGTTTGGTCTGGCTGCATTCTCACTAGATGGTTGAACCATTTCATTCTTTGTCTGTCAATATAATCCAAACATGGTCTTTTTCTGACTTTCTCTCTAATGCTGGTATTCGTAACCCTGTCTCTTCTTGTGTTGTTAGTGACACTGTAGAGACAGCGCATTTCACATGTAGTTATTTTCTGTTCTAGTGTTTTATTCATTGTTTCTTTTTCCCCCATGCAACTCATCAAAGGTTCACTGGTTAGTCCAAAGCACTAGACTTTTCCGACTCTCCTCTATCACAGACACTAGTTACATTAACTCATGCTAGCCGGCTCAACAGTTCGGTTCCTTCTGTTCTAAGGTGGTGTTATTATTTTAGCTTCTTTGGTAACAAAAACTGATGAATGTAATACATACGGTCCAATCTGCAGCAGTCCAACACGGCCATCAGATGTCCCATAAAGAATTTCATTACCATCTTCACCTAAAAAATAAAAATAATAATAACAATAATTTTATTTAATGCGCTGTTTTAAAATGTTTAACTATCACATTCTAACTTTTGTAATGTATTACATGGGAAAATATAATAAAATAGGTTCTTACAGTTTAAGCAAATCCTTAATTAGTCGCCTTTTACGACATGCATCTTAAGGAGTCTTCTCCGTCTTCCTCGCGTTCACCAGCTGTAAACTCTGGTGGAAAGTTCTGGTTGTTCATCCACTTCTGGACTGTTCCAGAACCTGAGTGCTGCGTGTGCATCCGTTTGACAGATCTGACTCATCTGTATGCAAACTGCTTGTTCCTTGCCTCTCGGGCAGATACACTTCGACTTTGAAGGAAGCTCCCGATTAGTCGACTCTTACGACATGCTTTTGGGTAGGCAGTGGGTCTATTCTTGTAACAGGGCCCCGGAACCCACACGGGAATAAGTCTTAAGGAGTCAACTCAGCGGGTCTGTTATTTTTCCTTAAAGACGGGACTCAGGTATCTTCCCGTGTGGACTCCAGGCCACAGGAGAGACCCAGTTCTCCCGAACATGCATGTCCTACAAGGTGACTAAGTAAGAAAGTTTCTTTAAAGTCAGTGCCTGAGAGGCAAGGAACCAACAGTCTGCATACAAATAAGCAACAGGACTAAAGTGCAAGTGGATTCACAACCACAACTTTTCACCAGAGTTTACAGCCATTAACATGGCATAGAAGAAGAAAAAGTCTGTTGTAAAAGATAACTAAGTGCATTTCAAAACTCATGCCAACATACTTTAACAATAATCTCGGAAACTCCTCTATGGATCAACACAAATTTGTGCACGAGACCGTTCAGTGCAGTAATGCGTGGTGATTATTTTGCAAGCCTATTCCCTATTCAATGAAAATTACGCTATTCACTGGACAGTTATGATGAAGATGACCTCCTGAGAGTAAAACACATATGACATGCATGCAATGTAATGTTTCGTAAAGTTTATCCTTACTCAATTTACTCAAGTTACTAAAGTCATGCTGTTTGCTATGAATGGGTGTTTGCTTTTTCATACACCGCAAATAAGGCAAAATGTAAACTAAATGTTTGTTTACATTTTTTTTTAAATACTTACAAGAAAATTATTATTAATAGTCTGCATGCTGAATTTCTACAACTTTCACTAAATGGTTACTGGGTAACTTTTTGTTAAAGTTAGGCAGGATTTTTGGACCTGACTTCTTCATCTTCTTCTTCAAGTTCACCAGCTGTAAACTCTGGCGGAAAGTTCTGGTTGCTCATCCACTTCTGGACTGCAGTCCTGTTCCAGAATCTGAGTTGCGTGTGCATCCGTTTTACAGACCTGACTCATCTGTATGCAGACTGCTGGTTCCTTGCCTCTCAGGCAGATGTGCTCCGACTTCAAAAGAAGCTCCCAGTTAGTCTACTCTTACGACATGCTTTTGGGTAGGCAGTGAGTCAATTCTTGTTTTCCCTATAATAGGGTCCCAGAACCCACACGGGGGAGTGCAGATATTGGTACAGATGTGGACCACAATGTTATGTCAAAATCACCCTACTGAGGATAAACCAAGAAGAAGAAGAAGTTACTGTACCTGCATTGTTTCCATACAACTCCAGGACAACAGGTGGGCCAGGAACCTCTGCCTCATACAACAACTCAGATCCCTAAAGAAAAAAAAAATAATATATAATAAAATATAACATGTCCCCATCACAGTTTCTGAATTTGTTAAACAAATATCAACCCTTTCACATGACTTTTGATTACACATATGTTAGTGGGAACATGTGCATATGGATATGTGCATGCGTGTATGCATGTGTGGGTGCACATGGGCATTAATGTATATGAGCAGAAAAATAGATGACAACACATTCCAACCTGAAGAACTCTGAGGACCCTGTCCTGACAGGCAAGGATTGGGGTGATTCCATTTCTCTTGTCTGCAGGCAGACACAGGACATCATTTATCTTGTCATTGCTCAAGAAGTAGTTGACATCTTTACAATCACGATAGTGGTTGAATACAAAATTGCCACAGGTCAAAAGATCAGTGCCTTCAACATACCTACATGAAGACAAAATACTCAGTGAAAGTTTCAGAATCTTAGAACAATCGAAATAGAACATAAAAACTGTACCAGACAAAGCAACAAACAAAAATAAACTTAATAAAAGCTTATAAAAATGAATGCAATGTGTCAAACTTATACTGTAGTGAAATCTGTGTTGTTTTGAGCCACCTACTCTGTATAAAATAAAGTGACAAGGAATGGCATGTCAGGTGCAATGTGGTGGAAAAAGTTACTTCTATTCCTCATGTGTCCTTTTCCATGCCTATTCCTCCTCCTTCTTTATCTTTTTTCTTCTTCAACTCTATTTTTCTTTCTTCTCTTTCTCCTCCTCCTTCATATTCTTTTTTTTTTCATGCACCTCCTTCTATATTTGTTTTTACCACCCTCTAAAATGTTGGACTGTCCTGTGACGTCATCTAGGGTAGGATATTATGAAAGAACCAAATGCTCACACAACACCCCACCACTCTCACAATAACTTACATCGACACTATAGGCTCAGACATATTTGTGGTGAAAGTAAGGAACTTCTTTCCCTTCTTTGTGTAAGCATTCACTTCAGTTCCACTTGCAGTGAAGATTCGATCTCTGGCCCCACCAGCATGACCTCCCAGCACAACTCTTGACAGTCTGTTACTGCTTGATGCTTGGAACACAGTCTGGGGTGAGAACAGAAGGAAATGCACTGAACAAACAAGTTTTAGATACAAGAGAATATTGACAAACAAAACAATTGTGTGCAATGAAGATGGCATTTTACTTCTTCTTCAGCAATCCAAGCCCTTGAGGTTTACTGCTGTAAATATTGCCTGGCTCCATTCAACTCTATGACTGAACTTCTATTTTCAGTCAGTGACTTAGAGTATTTGTAAGACTGTTTATATAATATCTCTCCACCTCCCTGTGTGGGTTCTAGGACCCCATTATGGGGAAAAAATAGACCCACTGCCTGCCAAAAAGCATGTCGTTAGAGTCGACTAACTGGGAGCTTCCTTTGAAGTCGGAGTGTATCTGCCTGAGATGTAAGAAACCAATAGTAATCTTGGTAATCTTAGTTTCAGCTTCATAGCAAACGAGTCACCCCATAGTTGCTCCGCTCCTGTGCCAACGAAAAACACACAGAATGTTCATCGCAGTCCCTTGTGGAATTTACAGACTGCTGTCCCAGCATATGCACTAGCATACACATGCATTAAAAGCATACGGTAGCCATTAGAAGTGCTAACACAAACAGTCTGACACTAGAAATGCATTTCATCATCGACGGTAGCAGAAGTCGCCAACAGATCAGCAGCTGTGTACGCGATCAATATTCTTCTTCTTCTTCGCGTTCACCAGATGGAAACTCGGGTGTAAAGTTCTGGTTGTTCATCCACTTCTGGACTGCAGTCCTGTTCCAGAACCTGAGTGTTGCGTGTGCATCAGTTTTACAGATCTGATTCAATTGAATGCAGACTGCTGGTTCCTTGCCTCTCAGGCAGATGCACTCCGACTTCAAAGGAAGCTCCCCAGTTAGTCGACTCTTACGACATGCTTTTGGGGAGGCAGTGGGTCTATTCTTGTTTTCCCCACAATAGGGCCCCGGAACCCACACGGGGGCGATCAATATTAATCACATAAGGGAAGAAACCAATAGTCTATATGCAAATGAGTCAGACCTGTGAAATGGATGTGCACCCAACACTCAGTTTCTGGAACAGGACTAGAGTCAGGAAGTTGATGAACAACCAGAACTTTCTGCCGGAGTTTACAGCCGGTGAATGCGAAGAAGAAGATATCTCTCCACCGACTTCTTGGTCGGCATTTCTTCTTCTTTTTTTTAACATTCACTGGCTGCAAACTCTGGCAGAAAGTTCTGGTTGTTTATCATTTTCTAGACTTGTTTCAGAAGGTGAGTTTGTGGGCACATCCATTTTATAGTTCTGGCTCATTTGTAGGCAGAATGCTGGTTGCTCACCTCTTGGGCAGTTACACTCAAACTTCAAAAGAAACACATCCAATTAGTTAACTTTTATGACATGCATGAATTCCACTGAAGATATTCCTCCATGCCACTGTCTTAAGCCGTCCACCATAATTTCTCTTGGTCTGCCTCTGCCTCTTCCACCAGTGATCTTTCCAGTGGTCACGATAATTTCCACTGCTCTTTTTCTTATCACATGACCAAAGAACTTACATTCACATAGCACTGTAAAATTGGGCCACCACAAAAATGGTTACAAAGCAACATGTCGTCCAGTGTGAGCTGGTTGTGTATTGTCCAGTAACGGTTTCATTGTGTATGTAAAAGAACATTATAGTGCACGCCATAATGTTAAATTCATCCCAAATTAACAGGCCAAAAGAATCCCCCTATGCAGTTTTTCATTTACCCTGTGTTTTATACCAGGACATGATAGGAGAAGAAATTAACTCGAGAATCCGTGACAACTGGCAAGACTGGTGGAAAGAGAGCAAGAGGAAGGCAAAGACATAAATACCTGGATGGTCTGGCCAAACAGATAGGGTGAGACAAAAACATTAAACTGATCCGGGATTTTGGTGATTGTGTGAGATAGCGAAACATTTTAGCCTGTGCTTGCCTCCACTGCACATGATGATGATGATAAGGAAGCACAGAAAAGTAACAGTATAACCTGCCATGCATAGCATAAGAGGCAACTAGAGAAAGTTGGCATGAGACTGGCTACTTCATACTGTAGAGAACTTTAGCTGCAATATATGACCAACCTTGAGCTAGTCTAAAAAAGGGCTGCAAACCCTGCACTTCTTTTTGGGTCCAATTCCCCATAAAACCCTGAAACTGGCCAATCTGTTGTGATCGTTTTCCACGTTGTTCAATGTCATTGGTTCCCTTCATGCCTGTGCAGTGTTTACTAGGCCCAGATATTATTACATTCACTAAAAGAAAAAAAAAAAGCATTTAGGAGATTTCCTTGTAAACCAAATGGCTCTTTTTAAAGCCAAATTGACACAAAATTTTCCCATAAGCCTCAATGACAGAGGTCACTGTGTCAGAACATGAGTCACCCGATCCATATATGTTTTTAGATTCCGACGAACGTATTCTATTTAAGGCTGTCTCTCCGTTCATGTTTATTAATTAATTCATTCATTCATTCAGTAGCATGTCCCTCGCGGAACCTCGCTGCCATAACAACCCTCCGGAAAACCATTGTTATGGATTCTTGGCAAAATTTGCAGAAGGTAGTTTGCCGTTGCTTTCCTCCTGAGCAGTGACTATACTAGTCGATGGCCATAGCCATTGTCTCTACTGATGAGATCATCTGCCTATCGCCGCAGAGTGCAGACCATAACCAACAATACCTGTCGGCTGCTCTTACACTCCATCCACCACCTGCTTCCATGGCTTCACGTAACCCTGATTGGGGGGCTAAATGGGTACTCCACCTTGCCCAAGGGTGTCCCGTAGACTAGCGGAGGAAAGGAGGCGTCTTACTTCTCCTTTGATAGGGGATACCCCTACCCCGCTAACCGTGTTTATTAATTACCCCTTTTAAATATCTGCAGCCGGTGTGATGTCGACCACATCAACCATTAAGTGCCGACTGGTCTTTTAATTAGGTCTAGCCCTATGTGCCCAATATGCCCAAAGGTGTGGAAATGGGTACTTTACCTTATTTACTTACTTTTAAATGTCTTTATATATTTCGAGTAAAATAAAGACATGAAGATAAAAACAAAAAAATTATCTCAGCGCGACAAGGTTAAAGGGTCTTTGTTCAACTGGGATATAGAAGCGGAAGTAGAATAATCTATATATTTACCTGAACTTGTCCCTTTCGCAGGCCGAAGCAGTGTAGCATTCCATCATTGTCCCCAACAGCTATCTGTAAGATCATATATAAACAAAGTAAATGTAAATAACGTTCAACTTCTTTTTGTGTTTGCCCTTAACTTTTCATAGAAATTGCCTAAGGAAAGAAAAAAAACCACTATTAAAAATCACTTGCACAAAACTTTCAAAGAGGCAACTGGAAATTCCAATTTCTTTAGCATTCTATGTTGGCTTGTGGCTAAGTCAATGCGAACGCTTCGTAATTTTGGGATGCCAGGTTCGATCCCAGCTGCAGGCCATGCGCCTTGCGCTGGTTTCAACAGTGGTATCAAGAAAGCCGACCGTCCAGAAAGCTATGGCAAACTACTGGACGTAAATTTGACTAGAAAAACCACACAGGGGTTGGTTCTGCAACGTCCTGTAAAGGATACGCAACTAACCTTTGAGCATTCTATAACCAGATGCAAAAAGTAACAGAACATCTGGTAATGTTGCGATTCATGAAAACGTGTTTATCACACACTGTACACTGTATGCTGCTTGCGACTGAAAGAGTTAAAAGAGTGGTTGACACCCTGTTTTGTGGTTTACAGCTAGGCTGTGATATCTTGGTCTTTCCGCCAAACATTGCCATTTAAGAAAAACTCCCCTTAGTCACCTCTAAAAACATGCTTACCTATTCCTTTTTCACCAGAAATGAGGCCCCAAAGCCCACGTGAAAAGTAAAAGTAAATAACTTTCTTCTTCTTCAGCAATCGGTAATACAAGTCCATTTCTAAATGAGTCACAAATAAGATGGTGCACTTAAGGTCTTCGCTGGTAGCCCATAGTTAGCTGTGCAGGGTCACCCCTGACAGCCAGAATTCTTCTCTCTAACTAGCAAAATCTGGACCATCTTGTGGGTAAATAACTTTCCTTAAAATAAATTTCTTTTGGTTGTTGTTATTGCAGTAGTAGGAGTCGTAACAGCAGTAGTAGCAGTAGCAGCAACAGCAGTAGCAGCAACAGCAGTAGCAGCAACAGCAGCAGCAGCAGTAGTCAAGGTTCCAACTTCACCGTAGACAAGTAGCCCCATAACTATATGCTCCTGTGCCAGTGAAAATGACACAGAAAGCCTTTAACTACTCAAGAACACTAGTGAACAAACAATTAGTCCCAACAAAATCCAGAAACATGCACAAGCAGTAAATACATAAGGCAGTTGTTAGACATGCCAACACCAAGAGTCGCCAGCAAAATTTCAATTATCATTGATGGAAAAAGTCAGTCAGGATTTGCTGGCTATACACATGTAATAGTAATGTATAAGGCATTTTGCCAGAAAATGTACGTCATTTTAATGAACAAACTGTGCTAGACCAATTTTTTACAGACCATGTGCCACTTAATGGATGATGTGGTCAATACTGCATTCTATTTCTTCTTCTTCTTCTTCTTCTTCTTCTTCTTAGCGTTCACCAGCAGTAAACTCTAGCAGAAAGTTTTGGTTGTTCATCAAATAATTAAGTAAAGTTCCAGAACCTTAGCATTGCATGTATATCCATTTTTACATATCTGATTTGACTGTATGCAGACTGTGGGCTCCTTACCTCTCAGGCGGACGTGAACCAACAAACGATCACTCCATGGTGATGGCGAGTGATTTTAACAAGACCAGCTCATTTTAATCTAAGTCTTCCACAATATTTGAATAAGATTTCAAGAACACTGCTGATTACAACAACTGCTCAACAATAAATACAACATTTAATTAATTGTTACTGACCTTCTGAGTTTTGCCTGTCAATGGTAAAATTTGCAAAGTCTTTGGAGATGTTATACCAGCCTAAAAATAAACACACATAGGAAATAAGTTAACTCTTAACACATGGTCATCTGTTATACTGACTCCCCGTGTGAGTTCCAGGGCCATATTTGTTGTGTGTGTGTGAGGGGGGATGGGGGAGGAAGGGGTTAAATGTACAGACCCATTTCCCCACTAACACGCATGTTGCAAAAAGGCAACTAGTTAGAGATATTTCCTTTGAAGTCAGAGTGCATCTGGCTGAGAGGTAAGAAACCAACAGACTGCATAAAAATAAGATAGATCTGTCAAATGGATGTGAACAAAACTCAAGTTATGTAACAAGACCAAAGCCCTGAAATGGGTCCCCAGAACTCACACAGGGATACCAAGGATTCAAACATGGGTCAATGTATGATAACAAATTATAGCCATAGTCAGCCATGCTTATGTTAATGCAATCACTACAGAACTATAAAAGATAGTTCACAACTAAAATATTAAAGAACAAACCTCAGTATATATTATACCATAAACCAGATACCAGAAAAATACTGATATTCTACAGGAAAGGAATAACGAAAGATCAATTTATATTATTCACATTTTATTTTCCTTAGTGTTCACCTTAGACAGAGCCTTTGGCACTTTGTTTTGTGGTTTATAGCTAGGCTGTGATATCTGCACCTTTCGGCCCAACATTAAATTTTGGCTCCTAAATAGTCACCTTTGACAACCTGCTTGTTGAGGCGCAGTGGGTCTATCCCCCCAACCTCCCCCCTTCAATTGGGTTCCAGAATCCACAGCGGAGTAGTATTCATATTATGATGTTGGATCACAGTAGACAAGAAATCCCTCTACTACAGCAGGGAAGTACAGATAATGAGACACAGACAATGAATGAGACACAGACAATGAGACACAGACAATGAATGAGACACAGACAATGAGACACACATATACAAACCTGCAAATAGTCAACCCGGGTGAGATTCAGCTCCATCATTTTGCTTAGTCTTTCTTAACAGGTGCTTGACTGAAACCTAAAATTGAAAAATACCATTTATTTTTTTAAGGCGAAGGGGTGTAATGCATTACTTCATTCAAAATCTTTCAGTTTTTTTTTTAAAATAAGGTGAGACAACTTACTTCACTGCTTGTTTTACTTATTAGTTTAATTTCTTCTACCTTGGGGTGTAGAAGTTTGCCAAAGAGCGCCAAACTTCCCTATCTGCAGGTTTTATTTATTTTTTTGGCTTTGTTCCATTCCAGTCATCTGTCCACCAGAGACTGTCGGATGTTGTCTTCCCAGCAGACCCTGTGTCTCCCTGGGTGTCTGGTTCCCTGTTCTTGGCCTCCTATGCCTGCCACAGTGGCTTATTCCCTCCTATTCTGCATACATGTCCAAACCATCATAACTGTGACTTATCCACTCGAGTTTGTAAGGCCTGGGTTTCAAGATCCTGACATATTGTCTGAATAAGAACTTTTCTCTCCTTAACACTTAGACAACCTTTCTCAGGTATCTAATTTCTGAGGCCTGATGCTGGCTTCTGTGAGCTGTTGTCATGGCCCATAACTCACAGCCATAAGTCAGGACTGGCACATAGGTACATATTTGAACAGCCATTTTCATCCTCTTGTCAATTTCTCATTTGCTGGGAAACCCTCAGTTACAGTCTGGAAATGTCTCCTAGCAGCTGCTTCTTTTCGAGTAGCCAGTTCTATCTTAATGCCCTGACTTCACTAACCGGGTTTTTATCTATATGGTTTGGCATCCATTCACAAACTGATTGCTCACCGTGCAAGAGTATCAAACAAAGCAAAAACTCTGTAGCTCCTGCAACTTTTCGTTTTGTCAGCGTTACCTGGCTGTAAACTGTGATGGAAAGTTCTGGTTGTTTGTCAACTTCTGGACCTTTTAGTCCTATTCAAGAACTTTAATTTTGCATGCACATCAGTTTTACAGATTTGGCTTATGTGTTTGCAGATGCTGATTCCTTGTCTCTCAGGCAGATGCATTCTTGACTTCAAAGGAAACATCCATAATTAATTGCCTTGTACAACATACTTGTTAGGCAGGCATTGTGTCTATTCTTCTCCCCACCCCCCTTTCCCAATGGGGGCCCCTAAACTCACACAGGAAGTCAGATGCAGTCCATGAGATTTCATCGCAAAAGTAAACAGACAACTGTTAGTGTAGTGCAGCAAAACCTGGTATGTGGCATCACATCTATCTACTTTGAGAACAGAGGTGGAGGTAATCGCTGCAGTCTTCTGCTGGCTTCCAAAACAGTTGTGCACATATGTAATGGTTTAACTGACTCAGAAAGCATGCTGAGAAAGGTGGAGACACGTATGCTAGGTTAAGAGTAGCAAGCATCACTTCAGAGGGCACATGTAATTATTGTCCTTTGGAAATTTGTTTAATATGAAGGCATGTGTGTTGGGAAATAAACAAGCAGACAGACTGGCTGGTTTTGCACGACAAGGGAGAGGTTAGCAAAACACTGTGCTAGCAAGCGATCAGTGCGGAGACACAAATAATAATCCATCATCAACATCTGAAGAGAAACTGTGCAGTGAAGAGCGACAAGGGTTTTGGTTGACACTCAACACTCTGGGGAAAGGATCAGGCAGTTACTGACTGGTGCCATCGGAATTGGAACTCTTCTCTTTCTGTTGAAGATGGGGGATGGAGCGCTTATGGGAGTGTCCTGAGAGTGCTCTTAATTCAACATTCAGGAAAAAGGCAAGACGGACATAGAATCAAGCTGCTTCGAAATTGGAACTCGGGGTTAGCTGCTGAAGATGGGGACAGTGCGCTGACATAAATTTTTTAGTGCTGTGATCATGTCACCTAAACGTTTTTTTTTTTTTTTTTTGTTTGTTAATTGTATTAACGACGATATTCTTATGATGTCTACATTTATTCTGCTAACCTGGGTCTCTTTTCAGTGCAAACGGTGCTTGTTTAACATTAAATGAAAGTCTTCCGTTTGAAAGTCTTGACGGGTCACAGGAAAAATAAGACTGAATGATGACCGTTAGTTATTGTTGGCAACGACAACAAACTGGTAAATTCCTATGTCGGCCATGATAGGTTGTTGTTCCGGCGCGTTATTTTACTTGATGAAGCCGAGTATGTTCCCTCAACGAAGAGACTGAATTGCAATTAGAATTAGGCAACGCTCAGTTCCGAGGTCAATAATTCAATATATAATTAGAACAGAGTAATGTCGGGTCTGCTAAAGTCAAAGTGTCTGTCTCGCAACATTAAGATCAGAATATATAAAACGTTGATAAGACCAGTCGTGTTATATAGCTCTGAAACTTGGAGCACAACTAAACGAGATGAAGCCTTATTTCAGGTTTTCGAAAACAGTTTTACAACGAATCTTTGGACCCATCAAAGATGCAAACAGCGGGGAATGGAGAGTGAGAAGCAACAACAAATTTCATAATCTGTTTAAATCACCATTGATCACTGGCATTGATGACAGCTAATATAATAGACCAAAATGGTTGGGGCATATTGAAAGAATGTCAGATGACAGACAAGTGAAAACTGAAAACACAAGGCAGATAAATGGTCGTAGACCACGAGGCAGACCAAGAAGACGATGGAGAGATAATATCCAAGCAGACCTGCAAACACATGGTGTCACCAACTGGGAAGAGAAGGCCAACCCATAAACTAATTGTTGTTTCTTACCAACTTTTTCTCTTCCCTATAATTTTCTACTCCTTATAAAAACCAGAGAGATGAATGGAGGCGGGTGATATCTGCAGCAATGAACCTCAAGCGCTCGGAATGCTGAAGAAGAATGTCGGGTCGTCAATCGGTGGACATGGGGTGCAGCCTTCAGTGGAAAGAAATTAATATTGTACCAAAAACACAAACAATCGGAATAATCAACACAACAGGGGTCGTATATTGGTTGTTTTCCCCTTGCGGTGCTAAGAGATGATCGGAGCACCTGTAGATTTGTCTGGGATGTTTTGATCAGAATCCACACGAATCACTCAGAGAGATGGGGATACCTAGATAATGACAACAAAATATTGAATGCTGAATCAAGAATCATCATCACAGTATTCGGGACACTCCCATAAGTGATCCGTCCTTATCTTCAGCAGCAAGCAATGGTATCAGTAACTGCCTGACCGTATACTTGTCTCGCTCTTTCCTTGAGTGTTAAGCGTCATTATTCAGATCCCATGGTAACTACCTGCAAAGCCATTCTCCTCAGACCGTAATGATCTGTTTGCGCCTCACCACCGTTCAATCGCTCCTAAAGGACCCTCACAACATCTAGCTTGTCATACGGCAATTGACTAGCAAGTGGTGCAGAACCAGCCAGTCTTTCAGCATATTCATTCAACACACTGGCATTACCTGGAGAAAATATCAAAAGGACACTAACTACCTAGGACCTCTGAAGCGATGCTTGCCACTCTGCACGGAGTATGCCTGTCTCCACTTTTCTCAACATGCTCCTTGAGTTAGTTACAATCACAGTATGTGTATACAGCTGATTCTCAAGTCAGTGGAAGGCAGGGGTGACTGCCCCTACCTCTATTCTCAAATTAAATGTTATCTAGATAATGACAACAGAAGATGGGAATTATTAGACGCTATCTCCATTTAATCAACAAATTTCCCGTGTGGGTTCCATGGCCCTATTGTGGGGGGGGGGGGGAGACAAGAACAGACCCACTGCCTCTCTAACAAGCATGTCGTAAGAGTCAACTAACTGGGGGCTTCCTTCGAAGTCGGAATGCATCTGCCTGCGAGGCAAGGGCCAAAAAAAGTGCATACAAATAAGTCAGATCTTTAAAACGAATGTAGAGACAACACTCAGATTCTGGAACAAGACTAAACTCCAGGACGAATGAGAAACCTGAACTTTCCGCCGCAGTTTGTAGCCGGTGAACGCGAGGAAGAGGAACATATCGGAAGACAACCCTAGCTTTTCCCCTGAAGTCAGAACCCATCTGCCTGAGAGGCGAAGAAACCAACCATCTACATACAGATAAGCAGATATTTTAAAGTTAAATCGCATTTGCACATAAAATTCAAGTTTTGGAACAAGGCCAAACTCAACAAATTTACAGCCGGTGAATTCTACAAAGAAAACTGCTGACAGAGAAGTCTGGCGATCTCTCTGGCAAACCTCTACACCCCAAGGTATAAGAGGGGAAATTAAGTGGTAAGTAGAATTCTAAGAAGAAAACTTCAGATAGAATCTGGCTAAACCTCTAGACCCCAAGGACTTTAAGTATAAGTCAGAATTCTGGCGCGGGAAATTCTTTTGGCAAACCTCTACACCCCAAGGTAGAAGAGGAGAGACCGAGTAACAAGTAGAAGTAGAATTCTAAGAAGAGTACTGCTGATAGAGAAGTCTGACGATCTCTCAATAATTTGGGACCGGTATTCGGAAGAGTGCCGAAACTTGTTATGAGCATGGATTTTTTTCAGGCGGTAAGCAGTAACAACAGCTTTTAAGGCTTAATAATTTTTTTTCGAGATTGACGATGTTATTTTGTTTTCATTTCATTACTTTTTAACAGCTATTGAAATTGATTAGAACTCGAAACTGCGATCTTTGAGTCCGGTAGCTTGTGCTAATAGCTCCAAAATATGCAGCTAGATAGTTACATGCTGGCGAAATTAACTTCCTGTTTTGGGTCCTTTCTTTGAGTTGGCAAGCCTGCATGTCTGTGTTTGCTGGAACGTAACCTTGAACCCCGGCAGGCTATACGCTAGTCGCCAGTGCTTGTTATGTTTGTTATGTTAAACGTTGACTAACAAGGAATCAGGCGAGATGGCGTGTTGATTATTGAAATTTTCCGGACTAGAATACGGAGAACAGAATTGGAGAGAAGAGAGGGGGGGGGGCAGTGTATGAGGAAAGAAAGGGACAGTTAGCTTTTGTCGTTTCTCCAAGTTAAACAAGCACTGCTTTGGGGGCTTTTTTCCCCTCTGTTTCGCGACCACATCCC